GCAGGGAACAAGAAACAAGCCCCTAGAATAAACAAACAAGGTAGGAGTGTACAGGCGTGGCAGGGTAGAAGGGTGCGGAGGAATGGTTGACGAGAGGAAGTGTGGAGGCTGAGAGGAAGGGAGGATGGCAGCGAGGGATGCAGGGAAAATAAGCATGCGCCGAGGGAGAAAATGAGCAAGGGAGACAAGGAGGAAGGGCGGAAGAGAGAAAGGGAGGGGGGAAGGAAGAAAGGGAGGATGGGAGGATGAGAGAACGGGAGGATGAGATGAAGGGAGGATGAGAGGAAGGGAGGATGAGCGCAAGGGCTGGAGGGTGGAAGGGTGGAAGGGGAGAAGGGGGGATGAGAGGATGTGAGGAATTCAAGTAGGGATAGGACAAGTGGGTGAGACGGAAAGGCGGACTATAGGAAGCTCGGAAGGTGGCAGTTTGAAAAGAAGGTCGGCATGGTGGAAGAGAGGCACGAGGATGAAAGAAAGAGTGGGTGAGAGAGTGGTAGGGAGGAGGGAGACTGGGAGGAGGGGCGGACGGGAGAAGTGGAGGGAAAGAGAGAGAAAGTCGATTTTTGAGTCGACTCAAAAATTGAAAGAAAGAGTGGGTGAGAGAGTGGTAGGGAGGAGGGAGACTGGGAGGAGGGGCGGACGGGAGAAGTGGAGGGAAAGAGAGAGAAAGAGAGGAGGGAGGAATGGAGAGTGGAAGGGCGGACAGGAGAAGGCGAATTAGCGGACGAGAGAGGAAGTCGGGACGGCTTCCTGCCCCCGCCACCCCCACTCCCCTGCCCCGCCTCCCCCACTCCCCTGCCCCGCCTCCCCCACTCCCCTGCCCCGCCTCCCCCACTCCCCTGCCCCGCCTCCCCCACTCCCCTGCCCCGCCTCCCCCACTCCCCTGCCACGCCTCCCCCACTCCCCTGCCACGCCTCCCCCACTCCCCTGCCACGCCTCCCCCACTCCCCTGCCCCGCCTCCCCCACTCCCCTGCCCCGCCTCCCCCACTCCCCTGCCCCGCCTCCCCCACTCCCCTGCCCCGCCTCCCCCACTCCCCTGCCACGCCTCCCCCACTCCCCTGCCACGCCTCCCCCACTCCCCTGCCACGCCTCCCCCACTCCCCTGCCACGCCTCCCCCACTCCCCTGCCACGCCTCCCCCACTCCCCTGCCCCGCCCCCCTTTCCCTTTGTGCACAGCGCTCCTCACTTCCCGCCTGCACGCGCTGCCCCGGCTGTGCGCCCAGCATTCTCCTCCAATGCTGCAGCAGCACCTGCCATGCGAGCGGGGTTGGTGAAAGAGAGAGGAGGAGGCTGGTTCAAGCTTGCTGTGCTGCCATAGGGTTGTGTGGGGCACAGCGTGAGGGGCAGGACGTGTGCACCGCGGAGCATGCTCCTCGCCTCGCACACCCAGGCAGTGGGGAAGGGAGAGTCAGAGAGAAGGAAAGAAGGGTGCAAGGGTGGGGGGAAGCGTGGGTGACTGTGGGAGGGAGTGTAAGGGAGAGTGGGAGGAAGCGAGGGCGATGGTGGGAGGAAGCGTAGGCGATGAGAAAGGAAGAGTGGGGGAAGGTGGGGGAAAGCGTGAGCGACGGTGGGGGGGAGCGTAAGCGACGGTGGGCGGAAGCGTGGGCGACGGTGGGGGGAAGCGTGGGCGACGGTGCGGGGAAGCGTGGGCGACGGTGGGGGGAAGCGTGGGCAACGGCGGGGTGAAGTGTGAGCGACAGTGGGAGGAAGCGTGGGCGACGGTGGGGGAAGCGTGGGCGACGGTGGGCGGAAGCGTGGGCGACGGTGAGGGGAAGCGTGGGCAACGGCGGGGTGAAGTGTGAGGGACAGTGGGAGGAAGCGTGGGCGACGGTGGGCGGAAGCGTGGGCGACGGTGGGGGGAAGCGTGGGCGACGGTGGGGGGAAGCGTGGGCGACGGTGGGGGGAAGCGTGGGGGACGGTGGGGGGAAGCGTGGGTGACTGTGGGAGGGAGTGTAAGGGAGAGTGGGAGGAAGCGAGGGCGACGGTGGGAGGAAGCGTAGGTGATGAGAAAGGAAGAGTGGGGGAAGGTGGGGGAAAGCATGAGCGACGGTGGGGGGGAGCGTAAGCGACATGATGGGGAAGCGTGAGCGACGGTGAGGGGAAGCGTGGATGACAGTGAGGGGGAGGGTGGGCAACGGTGGGCGGAAGCGTGGGCGACGGTGGGGGGAAGAGTGGGCGACGGTGGAGGGAAGCGTGGGCGGCGGTGGGGGGAAGAGTGGGCGACGGTGGGGGGAAGAGTGGGCGACGGTGGGGGGAAGCGTGGGCGACGGTGGGGGGAAGCGTGGGCGACGGTGAGGGGAAGCGTGGGCGACGGTGGGGTGAAGTGTGAGGGACAGTGGGAGGAAGCGTGGGCGACGGTGGGCGGAAGCGTGGGCGACGGTGGGGGGAAGCGTGGGCGACGGTGGGGGGAAGCGTGGGCGACGGTGGGGGGAAGCGTGGGCGACGGTGGGGGAAGCGATCGGGGACGGTGGGGGGAAGCGTGGGCGACGGTGGGGGGAAGCGTGGGCGACGGTGAGGGGAAGCGATCGGGGACATAAAAGTGCCGCCGTTGTGGGATACGACGACGTCGACGAGGAAGCGATGGGAGGGGAAAAGGGCGGACGGAAACGTAGGGCGAATGCGCCCTACAACTGGAGCTGAGGGCGTCGGAATGGGGTCATGACGGCAAGCAGGACAGGAAGTCACTGCAGGGCGGCGGGTAGTTGACTACCATGGAGAGGAAGGTGATGCATGCGGCAAACTGGCGTTTTGCGCGGTCGCGCAGGGGTTCGACGACGATGCAGAGTAAAAGGCGGGGCCATCGCACAGAATCTAGATTTTTTTGTGAACTAAGCTACAGCTCTATTGGCTTTCTGTTCTACCTCTGCTGGTAAACTGGGAGTTTCTCGTACCATACGACCTGAATTACAAAAAAATCAAACTGTGCACAGCCGCAGCCGTTATCTCTTGTGGAGGGAGTGGTTGGGGCTCTCGCCAACCGAACCTGTGCTGCTCTACGACTCACTGTTTTTCTGGTAACCGGAGAGGCTCGGGAGAAAAACTGTGGGCTCGGGAGGCAAACTGTGCACAGTTTGCCTTCCTTTTTTTGTAATTCAGGTCTTGGGCTTTAAGCGAGAACATCTGTACTCGCTGGTGGTTCTGTACAGTGGTGGGTCGAGCTATAACGCCTTGGATTGAATGCCAGCCGAAAATAGACCCTGCCACACGGGTGTTTATTGAGGCCCGTACAGTGTACACCCTCTTTCGCGCTACACTGACAATGAGATTCACAGGCTACAGTGTGTACTGTTGCTTGGAACGTAACGGTCTCGTGCTTACAGCCGAACTGCAGGTAGTGACGGGCAAATGGACTCCTGGTGAACGGTACACAACGGTTTTTAGAAAACAACTTGCTTTTGGGTACGGTTGAGTGCGGGCAAACGTGCTTATATCGTATGTGCATGGACCATCCTGGACGCATTGATGTGTGTACATCCGATCAGTTAGTATAGCCATTGACAGTGTAGCGCGAAACAGGGTGTATATACAAGTAAGTTTCTAGACACTGGCTCTTGTCTGATTTTGTGGATCCCGCACAGAACCAGGCAGAAGTCACCCTTGAATCAAAGTTTCCCCTTCTCTAAACTACAAATTCAGGGTAGAAAAAGAGCCCATCATGAAACAACGGGGACACGATAGTGCAGAGTATATTCTGACGCGTGTCAAACCTTGTTGGTGAATCATGGAACTTGGGCCTCTCTTGGCAGAAATCGCGTTGGTTAGTCCGGGCATGATTTGTTAAGGCACGAAAGTCTATGAAATTTGGCGTCACGAAACTACTCTACAGCGTGGATCAGTTTGTAGCTAAATTTCTAGAAGCTGGAAGGAGGTCTCCCAAGAGCGAATCGGATGTTTTAACCCAGCAGTTTAACCCACCAGGGCAGCCGAGTGGAGTGGCCCTGAAATCAGACGAGAAATAGGCATCAGAGCCACGCAACGCATGACAGCACAACAAAGTTCGCATGTGGAAGAGCCAACGTGGCTGGCTGGTGGATCCTAAGTCCAGACTGTGATTTCCTACCCTCCAGGCACCCAAACTGATTTTTCTTTCCGGGCAACTCTTGAACACGGTTCGTGTAGATGGTTTGTGGGAACTGTCAACGGAGTACTGTAAACACTATGGACCAGGCCGCATTGTGTACAGTGCAGTTCATGAAGAAAACAAGGGCTGGGTTGGGTTTGAGGACAACAAGGGTTGTTTTCAAGCGTGTGTCTGTTGACCACAAAGGTCGTGCTATGGTGATTGTACGTTGGCCATTCTTTCGCATATGATTGGTCTACTTCGCCGAGATCAAACTACAGTACAGAACTGTGTGTCGAGGCGCAGGTTGTTCGCCAGAGATTGAAAATTTTGGGGTTCGTTTGGAACGTCGGGGAGGCATCCAACCAGTGGACGATGACGACTTGCCCTGCCTCCAGCTGTTTTGGGAGCTCTGTGATTGGAGCCCCACCCTCCTTTGTCGCACAGTGCAAGATGTACTTACTGTATCACCAATGAGATCTCACTCCACTCCACACCCCATTCATCACTGTTGCCAGAACGTGGTCATCATTCAAGACGACGACGACGTGTTGTCTCGGACATCGGTCCCAGCCAGTCAGACGCCCAGCAAGCAGCCCCCAAAGGGACTATCGCTGGCCGTCAAAATGCAGAACGGGTGCAAGCCGTGCAAGCAAGTGATGATCTTTGAAATTGATCTCGATACGAACGTCTTCATCTACTCTTTATGTGTACCATCTCGTGTAGTGACTCAAGTTCCATGTACTTAGCAAGCATTTCAATACATCACCCTCGCATTCATCCTCACATTCAGGTTTGCACAAAGCATGAACCAGCCTCTTCCAGCCTGTGCTTTTCCCGACAGCCAGGCAACACAAGGCCATATGATGCACATGAGTCAGCCAACGTTCTCCTACATTTAATTTCCTCACGGTTCACCTTCCTCTGTTTTCGGTCTAATGTTGCGGCGTTTCCGATTCGCTCGACTCGGATCGCTCCCCATCCAGCCACACGCCGCCCTCTCGCGCCTCTTTCCGCTACGAAATGCTCCGCTCACATTCCTGCACGCCCTTCCGCGGGAGCCCCCGCGCGCATGTCCCTCTGATGCGCGTCCGCGCCACCTCACGGTCGTGGCGGGGCGGCGGAACCACGGGGGGGGCGCGATGAAGCAGCGCCCCAAGGACTGGCGCCCGCAGTCCACCCCCTTCCACGCGCGCAACCGCAGCCCCCGGCGAAACGATCGCGCCGTTCCGCTGGGCCCGCGGGGCGGAAACGAGGGCGATGGCGGAGACGGTTCCGCGGAGAGCGCAGGGCGGATGCAGCGCGATGTGGCGGATCTGGGCGCGGATTGGCGGCTGGGGCCGGGGGAAGCAGTGGGGAGAGTTATGTCCGCTCAGGCCAACTTTGTACGCGTGATTGTAACGAGATGCGGAGTAGAAGATGAGAGAGAGGGCAGCGAGGAGCGAGGAGAGGAGCCGGGCCGAAGCAATAACGGTCAATCACACCAAGGTGGGATGATACGAATCTACGGCTAGAGTATTCCTCTTCCACAAAACCCGAAACCCTTTCCTATTGTTCTTCCCCTCTCTTAGAGGAGCAGAAACCCTGAACCGTACCCAGCCCCCTCCACGCCCTCGCCTTTCTTCCCCCAAACCCCCGAACACCCAAACCGCAACCCCCTCACCCCTCCCCCCTCACACCCCCCTCTCCCCCCCGCTTTTCCCACCCCTAGCAGAACCTTAAACGTCTGTTAAACCTCTCCCCGCTCCCAAAGGAAAACCGAACCTCCAAACTCTCGGGCAGTAGCAATCACTGCAATTGGCTTTAGATCGTATCCACCTCTGCCATGCCCCACAAGATGGCTTTCTAGTCGACTTTTGAGTCGACTCAACAGTCAGGCCGTAGCAGTCACTCCAATTGGCACCAGAAGAACGTATCCCGCCGCTGCTTCTGGATGCCATGCCACACAAGACGGCAGTTGGGGGAGGAGAGACGCCAAGGGGCGCAGCAGAGCAGCAAGTGGGCCAGCAGACAGACACTGCAAGGGGCATCTGAACTGACCTCCCACCTCCCCTTCCGCCTCTCTGCTTATGCATGCCATCCCACCCCCCTCTCCTCTCCCCACCTCCCGCCTCCCCTTCCGCCTCTCTGCTTATGCATGCCACCCTCCCATGTTTGCAGGTGGGCAAAGAGAGATTCCAAGGGAGGCCCCAAGGGGCACAGCAGAGGTGGCAGGGATGGGCATTCGAACTGACCATCCCACTCCCCTTTTCTCTCTGCTTATGCATGGCACCCTCCCATCTGTGCAGGTGGGCGAAAGGAGACGCCAGGGGGCGCAGCGGAGCAGCAACTGGGGGGGCAGACAATGCAATGGGCATTCGAATCGACCTCCCACACCCCCCCTCTGCCTCTCTGCTTATGCATGCGTCCCTCCCATCTGTGCAGGTGGGGGAGGAGAGACGCCAAGGGGCGCAGCAGAGCAGAGGCGGCAGGGGGAGGGCGCGGAGGGGAGAGAGGGGAAAGATGGTACGGAGAGAAGGGATGGGAGGGAGGAGGAAAAAGGGGGGAGACAGGGGAGGGAGGAGGAGAGGGAGGGGGTTGAGTTGCTGTGTGTGGTGCGAGCACTGCTGAAGAAACTGAGGAGGAGGGTTCTAGTGGGGGACGTTGTAAGGCTAGGTGGGATTGATTGGGCTGCCCGCCAGGCTGTCGTTCAAGACGTTGCCCTGCCCCGGGCATCTGAAATTTTGGACCCGCCCGTGGCGAACGCGGACCACCTGCTGCTGCTTTTTTCGCTTGCCCAGCCGCCGCCCGAGCCGTCGAACGTGAGCCGGTTCCTGGTGGCTGCGGAGGCGACAGGTGTCGCCGTGTCATTGGTGTTCAACAAGGCGGATCTTGTGGATGAGGAGGTGAGGTTTTTGGTCTTGCTGAGAATAGGCAGGCAGGAATAGTGCATGTGTGCATGCTTCTGTTGCTGTGCTGCATCAGTGACGTTCAATGAGGCGGATTTAGTCGATGAGGAGGTGAGGATTGTGGTCGTTCTGAAAATAGGAAGGCAGGAGTAGTGCATAACTGCGTGGATAGCCTCCTGCAGATAAGGATCAACAGGGATCCTATGTGTCGCCGTGTCATTGGTGTTCAACAAGGCGGATCTAGTGGATGAGGAGGCGAGGATTCGGTGTTTGTGAGAATAGGCAGGAACAATGCATCCTTGTGTTGGTGTGACTGCGTGACTGCATGCATGCATGCATGTGTCGCCGTGTCATTGGTGTTCAACAAGGCGAATCTAGCGGATGAGGAGGTGAGGATAGTGGAAGTTCTGACCTGATGATAGGCAGAAATAGTGCATGTGTGCATGCTTGTGTCGCTGTGTCATTGGCGCGTATCTAGTGGATGAGGAGGTGAGAGGGTTGTTGCAATGTGGTGTGGTCTGATTTCTGGTAGATGCTCAAGGTTTGGGCTTTTGAGACGTCGCACATTTCTAGTTTTGAGGCGCCTAGTTTTGAGGCTCCTTTGAGGCGCCTCAAAACTAGACTCAAGGTTTGGGCTTTTGAGATGTCGCACATTTCTCAAGAATTGGGCTGGGCTGCTTTGTAGCAGTGCGCTGGGCTGTGTAAGTGAGTGCTTATACTGCTAGCCTTCTCTCCCCCCTCTCTCCTCCCTCCCATCAGGGATTACGGGAGAACAGCAGCGGGCGGCATAGTGGGGTTACCAAATGCTCACATGTGGTCACCAGATGACTGTAAAGGTTATCCCGCCCTCCTCGCTCCCTCAACTTCCCCCCTTTACCCCTCCCTTTACTGCTCCTTCCCTCCCTGCTCCCCTCCCTCCTCAGGCAGTGCAGGAGTGGCAGCAGCGGGCAGCAGAGTGGGGTTACCAGATGCTCACATGCAGTGTGGAGCGGCGAATCGGAATACGCCACCTGGCAGGCCCAGGAGGCCTCTTGGCTGGTCGCACGACAGTGATTGCCGGGCCTAGTGGGGTTGGCAAGTCCAGCCTTATAAACGCTGTTCTTGGGGAGGCTTATAACGGAGACGCTCATAACAAGGAGGTTTGTGATGCAGATGGCTTGAAGGAGGGAGGGGAGGGAGAAGGTGGAGAGGCTAAATTTGAGGAGTTGAGGGTTGGGGAGGTTTCAAAACGGAGTGGGAGGGGGCGACACACAACACGACACGTGGCCCTTGTGAAAATACCAGATGTGACTGTAGAGGGAGACTCTGCTGTGACAATACCAGATGTGACTATAGGAGGCATGAGTGCAATGGTACATGATGTGACTATAGAGGGAGACACGAGGGAGGCAGTGGGGGGAGTGAGAGTACAGGAAGAGGATGCAGTTTGCGATCACAGCAGCAGTGCGAGCAACAGTAGAAGTAGTGACAGAACTAACAGCAATAGCAGTACCAGCAGCGATCTAAGCAGCAGCAGCAGCGATCTAAGCAGCAGCAGCAGCAGCAGCAGCAGTGGCGGGTTGCTAGCAGACTCACCAGGGTTCAGCCAGCCTTCCCTTGCCAACGTCACCTGCTCCGACCTTCCGATGCTCTTCCCTGAGGTACTTATATTGAGGCAAGGTGTGTATCGAATCAGGTGTGTCTTGAGTCGAGGTGTGTTGTGAGTCGACTCAAGATTCACCAGGGTTCAGCCAGCCATCACTTGCCATTGTGACCTGCTCTGACCTTCCCATGCTCTTCCCCGAGGTACTTGTTTTGAGACGACTCTCAACCACAGCTTCAGCCAGCCATCCCGCCCCAATGTCTCCCCTTCTGCCCTCCCCATGCTCTTCCCTGAGGTACCCTTTGAGTCCACTTAAAATTAATATGATGTTTTTTTTTTTTTTTAACGATTAACCTGACTGTCTCTCCCCACTCCTCCCCTTTTCTTCCCATGCCGCTTCGCACACTGCCTTCCGTTGCACTCTCTCTCCCTTTGCACTCTCACTCCCTTTTTTTTTATATCATATGTACTCTGATTCCATCCCCCCAACCATGCAGATCCGCACTCGCCTTGCCACTTCCCCCACCTCCTGCGCATTCGCCGACTGTCGCCACATCAGCGAGCCCGGGTGCGCGGTGGACAGCGGTTGGGAGCGGTACCGGCACTACGTGATGTTGATGGACGAGATCAGAGTGCGGGAAGCAGCGGAAATCCGGGCCGTTGGTACGAAGAGGGAGGGGGATGTGAGGTTGAAGAGTGGGGGGTATGGGGTGGTGGTGGCAGAACCGAGACTAGAAGCAAAGAAGCACCGGAGGGAATCGAGGAAGAAAGGGAAGCAGCTGCTGCTGCAACAACTGGCTGTGGAGGAAGAGGAGGATGAGGAGGAGGAGAGACTGGGGTTTGCAGGTGGGTACGAGGGGAGTGAGAGGAGGCGGTGAGAGTGTTTCGGCTCTTCGGAGGCAAGGTTAGTCTCGGAGATGGGCGTATTTCGAGGAGCCTTATTGAAAGAAGCTCTGGGTGGGTGGGGCTAGTGGCGATGAAGCACTGCAGGGGGTCGAGGAAGAGAGGGAAGCGGCTGCTGCTGCAGCGAGGCTGGTATGGGAGGCAAGGCTAGTCCGGGGAGGTGTGCATAGTTTAAGGAGTCTTGAAAGAAGCTCGGGGTGGGGCTAGTGGCGATGGAGCACTGCAGGGGGTCTAGAAAGAAAGGTAAGGGAAGGTCGTTTGCAGTGGCTGCTGCAACAACTGGCCACTGAGGAAGAGGAGGATGCGGAGGAGGACGTTTGCAGGGAGGGTGCCAAGGGAGTGAGACACGGTGAGAGTGGCCATTTAGGGAGCCGAGGGTAGACTGAGCCTGGGATTCTTAACACGTGCTGAACCTGCTGCTGAGTTCATTAGTGTTTTAGAGAAATCAGCCTCTAGTTAACACAAGGAACAAGCCTTGGGCTAAGATGTACAGTGTACTGTTTGTGGAAGAAATGTTGCTCATATGAAAGGGCAAGTGCAATGGTATAATGCGATGAAACCCGAAAACCGCCCCCAGACGTGGCTGACCGTAGTAAAAAGTGCGTCGAACAGACCCAGAACAAAAAAGCATGACCCCCGAACGAACAAGCAAGCCAGCAATTGTTATTCGTAGCATGCATTCATATGCTCGCGTGCAGTCAGTCGCAGGGGAACCGTACTTTTGGTGCAAGGGCCACTCAAGGTGTCATGATCATGATACGATGCAAATCAATATTTGGTTTGTTTATGAATACCATACATGGGATTTTGCATGTGAAATGTTATGTACAATGATAAGAAACTGTGTTCAACACCATACTCCTTGATGCCATTCAGACCTCTAGCGAACAACATTGTATGGTTATCATTGACCAAAAAGTGGTGTAGATTCGATGCTGTTGCCATTGCTAGGAGTCGCCGGTCTTTTCCGCGCTTGAATCATTGGGCTGGCGATGCTTGTCCCTGTGCCAATACTAGTGCCAATGTCATTGGTAGTGGAACGGATGGTAGCACTGGTGGTGGGAGTGGTGGTGCTGTGGAGGTGAGTGTAGGAGGAGGAGGGTGAGGAGGAGTTGGAATGGAGGATGGGTTGAACAGCTTGGCTGTTCTGAGAGGGAGGCGCCACCAGCGTTGCACCTGCAGGGGTTGAGAGGTGGGAAGAAGGTAGGCGAGATGAAGCATGCAAGGGGGAGATGGTGACAAGCGGTGTGGAGGAGTTAGAGTGGAGGATGGGTTTAACGGTCTGGTTGTGGCGGGAGGGAGGGACCACCAGGGTTGCACCTGCAGAGAAAGGTTGAGCGGTAGGGGTGGGAAGGAAGGTAAGCGAGATGAAGCATGTAAGGCGGAGACAAAGGCAAGGGGCGAGGTGGAGCTGGGGTTGAGAATGGGACAGGTTTGGTTGTTCTGAGAAGAAGGCACCACAAGGGTTGCGCCTGCAGAGGTCGAAAAGGAAGGCACATGGGTAGTGGGAAGGGAGGTCAGCAAGATGAAGGAACGATACAGCACAACCACATGGAAGCGGTGAAGGGTGGTTGAAAGTGATGCAGTGTGAAATGCTGTGCTAGGCCAGGGATGATTAGGGGAAGGCGGAATGGGGGACGACGGAGTGAGGTGAAGCGGGAGTTGGGGAAGGTGGAGCAGGGAGAGGATGAGTAGGGTTACCGTGAGCCCATAGGGCAGCGGCAGGTAGCAGCACAGCAGTGAATATTCCCATGCTTATGCGCCAGTTGCCCACCATGTCCTGTGCGCATGGGGGGATGGGGAGGGGAGACAGGGCAGAGAGAAGAAGACATGGCAGAGAGTAGAGAGGGGAATTGGGATGGGAGGCAGCAGCACGGCAGTGAATATCCCCATGCTGATGCGCCAGTTGCCCACCGTGTCCTGTCCGCGTGGGGAGGTGGAGGGAAGACAGGGAGGAGGGTTGGGGGGCGGGAGGCAGGGGATGGGTGGGAGACGCAGGCGGTGGTGAGCGGCGGCAGCAGGCAGTATAGAATGGGGAGGTGAAAAACAGACAGTTAACTCTGAGTCGACTGAAAACAACCACATGAAAGGGCAGCATATGAAGAAGCACCTGGGAATGATAAAAAGCATATTTAGGAGGCCAAAGATGGCAGCACCTGAAAAAACACCTGAGGGAAAAAAGGTACCTGAAAAAACACCTGAGAGTGAATGGCAAGGCACCTGAAGGAGGCCGAGGATGGGTGGCGAGGGCACGTCTCCTAGCAGGTGAGCAACAACGGTTGCAGCGGCTATTGCGAGGGCTCTGAGGTTGGATGGCACACACTGCAGTGACACTATGTTGGCTGGACCCTGGTAGGCGAGAGTGGGGGATTCAGTAAAAGAACGGAGGCAAGGGAGTGACAAGTGAGGTGGCTATTGCGAGGGCTCTGAGGTTTGATGGCACACACTGCAGTGGTACTATGTTGGCTGGACCCTGGTAGGGGAGGGAGGGGGATTGGGTGAAAGAACAGAGGCAAGGGAGTGACGATGGTTGCAGTGGCTACTGCAAGGGCTCTGTGGTATGATGGCACACACTGTAACGAGACTATGCTGGCTGGACCCTAATGGGTGAGGGAAGGGGCATGGAGAGACAAGGGACTTTTGAGTCCCCTGGTAAGGGAGCGACGACAGTTGCAGCGGCTATTGTGAGGGCTTGGAGGTTGGGTGGCACACACTGCAGTGACACTATGTTGGCTGGACCCTGGTGAATGGTGGGAGGCAACATGGTGAGACAAGAAACTTTAGAGTCCCCTAGGAGGGGAGCAAAAACGGTTGCAGCGGCTATTGCGAGGGCTCTGAGGTTTGATGGCACACACTGCAGTGGCACTATGTTGGCTGGACCCTGGGGGGTGGAGGTGAGAGGAAACGGGGGGCATGGTGGGCGATTATGGAGGTGAGAGAGGGCTCTGAGGTTGGATGGGATGGGACGCGGTGCAGTGATACAATGGGACAAAAGACATGGCCACAGCAGCAGCGGCTATTTCGAGGGCTCTGAGGTTGGATGGCACGCACTGCAGTGACACTACATTGGCTGGACCCTGGGGAAAGGAGGGAGACAACATGGAGAGATGACAGAGGGGGTCCTGGGAAGGGGGATGGGGGGATTGGCAGAAAATACAGCGGCAAGGGAGTGACAAGTGAGGTGGGCATTACAAGGGATCTGAGGTTGGATAGTACACACTGCAGTGACACTATGTTAGGGCGCGTAACCAATTTGACGGTTGCGTTTTCGCCAAAACGAACCGTTTTAACGAAGTGGAGTAACACGGCTTCGTTAAAACCGAGTTCCGTGCGACCCCTTTACGAAGATAGTAACACGGCTTCGACAAAACAGTTCGTTTTGGCGAAAATGCAACCGTCGAAATGGTTACACGCCCATACCACTTGGTTACCATCTGTGTGGTCACTTCTGGTTACCAGCTGTGTGGTAACCAGCCGTACATGGATGGCAAATATGAGAACTCCCTGAGAGCCATGAAGAGCACAAAGAGATCAATGGGGGGCGAGGCGAAGGCAAGGACGATCAACTCACTGGTTACTGTGTGTACCTGGATGGCAATGATGAAGAACCCTCCGAGAGCCATGAAAAGCACAAAGAGGGCAATCGGAAGTGAGGCGAAGGCAATCAGCTTGCTGGTTACTACTTGGTTACCAGCTGTGTGGTTACCACCTGGTTACCAACTAGTTACGGTCTGTATGTACCTGGATGGCAAATATGAAGAACTCCCCGAGAGTCATGAAGAGCACAAAGAGGGTGATGTGTGGCGAGGCGAAGGCAAGGAGGCAGAAAATAGCTCCCACCACTGTCACCCGGGATTGTAGCTGATTGGGGGTTGGGGACATGCAAAGGGGAGGGAAGAGGACAAAGCGGGCGATGTGTGGCGGGGCGAAGGCGAGAAGGCAGAAGAGGGCTCCAACCACTGTTACATGGGACCAACGCTGATCGGGGAAGGTGGGGTTGTGGGAAGAAGAGGGAGAGAGAGGGCATGAAAGCAGCCATGCCCCCAACACCGCCGTTGACTACAGTCAGGCCGAGGTGCATGTGTTGTACACCCATACCGTGCGTGCACAACACACAACATACCAGGAGGGGACCCCACACCGGTGACTTACCACCATGTTGCTCGATTCAATTCACACCATACGGCCGCCGGGCCATAAGATGGTTCACAATGCCATGAGGTGCATTGCACTCCAAGAGGGCGTTGGGGATGGTTGCATCCCATGCGTGCATTGCCTGACACCCATGCGGGTCAGCCCCATCCTACAACGTTTCCTCCACGCCTTCACAACAGTGATGCCATGTTTCCTCCCGTTCATGCGGGACAGCAATGGGGATGCACACCACGTGAGCCTGTGAGGGTCCACCCTACATACACGCCATACCAGCAGCGCATTGGGAATGGTCGCACCCATGCGGTCGAGCATGATACCACCAAAAAGCGTGCCACCAACCCCCATCACCACAGTGATGCCTCCAAACAGCACACTACACACAGCATACCAGCAGGGCGTGGGGAATGGTCGCACGCACCCATGCGGTCGAGCATAATGCCGCCAAACAGCGCACCGCCCACTCCTCTTACCACCGTGATGCCTCGAAACAGCGCCAGTGACTGTGGTCATGCTTAGGTACACACTACACACGCACAACGAGTCGTGTTTTGAGTCGACTCAAAACACAGCAGCAGCGCGTTGGGGATGGTTGCACCCATGCGGTCGAGCATGAGACCTCCAAACAGCGTGCCCCCAGGTAAGCAACCCACCAAAGCCATAGGCCACTCGGACATGCACGCGTGTACACAAAGACCATACCAGCAGCGCGTTGGGGATGGTTGCTCGCTCCCATGCGGTCGAGTCTGAGACCTCCAAACAGCGTGCCCCACACGCCAGTCACCACCGTGATGCCGCCAAACAGTAATGGGGACTATGATGGTGCTAACACACATACAAAGGCGGAGACTAGGTGCATACACACACACCAGCAAGGCGTTGGGGATGGTTGCTCGCTCCCATGCGGCCGAGCATGAGGCCACCGAACAGCGTGCCTCCCATCCCAGTGACCACCGTGATGGCCCCAAAACAGCAATGCTGGTGACTATGGTGATGCAATAACCTAGGTGCACAGACCAAGCCTAGGTGCACAGACCAAGCCTAGGTGCACAGACCAAGCCTAGGTGCACAGACCAAGCCTAGGTGCACAGACCAAGCCTAGGTGCACAGACCAAGCCTAGGTGCACAGACCGAGCCTAGGTGCACAGACCGAGCCTAGGTGCACGGACCGAGCCTAGGTGCACGGACCGAGCCTAGGTGCACGGACCGAGCCTAGGTGCATGCATATGATACACACCAGCAGCGCGTTGGGAATGGTGGCTCCCATGCGGTCAAGCATGAGGCCGCCAAACAGCGTGCCGCCCACACCAGTCACCACCGTGATGCCTCCAAACAGCGCATCCGCCCTCTCCTCATTGAAGATTTCCCTCATTGCCTTGGGCGCCCAGTAAGCGTAGGCGCCTATTACGAACGTATATGCCGCATAGCCTGGGGAACGAGAAGAAGGAAACAGGGAGAGAAAGGGGAGGGCAAGGGAGGTCGGAGTGTGAGTGAATTGCCTCCCCACCCAAACAGTGCATCCGCCCTCTCCTCATTAAAGATCTCCCTCATTGCCTTGGGCGCCCAGTAAGCGTATGCTCCGATCACAAAAGTGTATGCTGCATAGCCTGGGGGTGAAGGGAAGTAGAGACAGGGTCGGAGTGCGAGTCTGGTGCCTGCCCCCCCCCCCTCACAAACAGTACATCTGCCCTCTCCTCGTGGACTATCTCCCGCATAGCCTTGGGCGCCCAGTAGGCATAGGCGCCGATTACAAAGGTGTACGCAGCATAGCCTGGGGGTGAAGGGTAGTAGCAGCCAGGGAGTGAGGTGGGGGAGTGGAGTAAAGAGGCAGGACTGTGAGGTGCCTGCCTCCCCCACCCAAACAGTACATCCGCCCTCTCCTCGTGGACTATCTCCCGCATCGTCTTGGGCGCCCAGTAGGCATATGCTCCAATCACAAAGGTGTAGGCCGCATAGCCTGGGGGAGAGGAAAGGGAAGTACGGACAGGGAGCGAGGTGGGGGAATGGAGCAAAAGAAGGTCGCCTTGTGAGGTGCATGCCCTCCCCAAACAGTGCATCCGCCCTCTCCTCATAAAGAACCTCCCTCATCACCTTGGGCGCCCAGTAGGCATATGCTCCGATTACAAAGGTGTAGGCCGCATAGCCTGGGAGGGGAAGGGAAGGAAAGGACAGGGAGAGACAGGGGCGTGGGTGAGTGGGACGGAGGGAAGGACCTCCCTTGTTGCCTGAATCGCCCGGTACACAGCGACCAGAAGGCAAGTGCATATGCTGCATATGATCCCTTATAGTGCTGTAATGTGCTGTAAAACCTGCCTGTTTGCTCAATGAAGGACCATTCGAGCATCAGTGATGTCTCAAAACGTCCCCCCTTTCCCCTCCCTCCTTCCTTTTCCTTTCCCTTCAAAAGCTCATGATGAAGAAAATCAGTGCGGAAGGGACAGAGAGCAAATCTCTCACCAGCAACCAAAGGCCGGGCAAGCAGCACCACACCACACCACAACACACCCTACGTAACTCACACCATACCACACTGCACTACACCGCACAGCACCCATGGTGTCATACCGAGAATATTAATGGTGAAGATCTCGTTGCGAACGAGGGAAAGCGAGTCGTCCAGCAGAGACCCATCGCCATGCTTCGACTGCAGAGACCACAAACTGTGTATCGTACCGTACTGCACCGCACAAAACCCAGGAAACCCATCGTACCGAGCACATTGACGGTGAAGATGTCGTTGCGAGCGAGAGAAAGTGAGTCGTCCAGCAGAGACCCATCGCCATGCTTCGACTGCAGAGTCGCTTCAACATGTGACGATGCTGCCAGTGATGGTGCCTCCTCTGCCTTCTCCTCGTCATCATTAACACCAGCAGTAGCATGGGTCTGCGTCCTGCCTGCCAGAAACACGGCAAGGGAACCAAACATTTGGCGCTTTCTGAAACACCTCGAGAGGTTGTACTACGGGACCCATCGCCATGCTTCGACTGCGGTGCGGAGTCGCCTCAACATGTGACAACGCTGCCAGCGATGGTGCCTCTTCTGCCCTCTCCTCATCATCAGCAGCAGCAGTACCATGGGCGTGCGCCCTGCCGGCCCATGAACCCAGCACAGGAAATAAGCACTATGAGAGAGTCAGCAGAGTAAAGAAGGATTCGAAGAGAATTTTCAAAAGTACCAGGATATAAGCACTATGAGAGAGCCAGCAGCAGCACCCACAATAACTCAACAGTGACTCATCATCAGCAGCAACAGCGCCCGTACCATGGGTGGGCATGCGTCCTGCCTGCCAGGAACACAGCACGAGAAACAAGCACCCATAGGCGTTTGAGACGCCTCAACACATGGCCGCGCTGTCAGTGACGGTGACCCCTCTGCCCTCTCCTCGTCATCCTCATCAGCAGCAACGGCAGTACCATGGGCATGCGTCCTGCATGTCAACCCCCCCTCTAGAGGTAGCCAGGTGACTTTTGAGTCGACTCAAAAGTCACCGCAGTACCATGGGCATGCGTCCTGCATGTCAACCCCCCCTCTAGAGGTAGCCCAGGGCAAAGCTGACCGGAATGCAGAGGTAGAAGGTGGGGTGGCGGGAGTGAGATGAGAGGAACGCGAGGCACAGCAGGGGAGCAGGAGACTACCTTTTAGGTGCGGAGGGGCAGCAGTAGCACTGTAGATTACAGATGGCAGCATGAAAAGAGCCTTCAGCAGAAATGCCCCTCTCCAACCCAGCAGCGGGCCAGCCACCCCCCCGTAGAGGTAGCCGAGGGCAAAGGGAGAAGCAGCGGAGGAGGAGGCAGCAACGAACAGGGCGTCACCTTTGAGGAGAGGAGGGGCAGCAGTAGCAGTGTAGAGCACAAAGGGCAGCATGAACAGGGCTTCGAGCACGAACGCCCCTCTCCACCCCAGCAACGGGCCAGCCACCCCCCCGTAGAGGTAGCCCAGGGCAAAGCCGACCGGGATGCAGAGGTAGAAGGTGGCGAGCCATTGCGCTGTCTTGCCCGGTGGGGCATTGTCGTCTATGAAGGGCGCTGCTAGACTGATAAAAGAAGCTTCTCCCACTCCCACTAGCCTGAGGTGTGGGGGGAGGGGGAATGGGGTGAATGCATAGGGCACACACATTAGGTGGCGAGCCATTGCGATGTTTTGCCTGGTGGGGCGTTGTCGTCTATGAAGGGCGCTGCTAGACTGATGAACGACGCCTCCCCCACCCCCACTAGCCTGGGATTGGGGAAGAGAACAGGAAGCAGAAATGAGGGAAGAGAACTGGCATGTGGTATGGAGGAGGAGAACGGGCAAGGGAAAAGGGGCGGAAGGATTGTGGCAAAGGGAAAAGGGCTTGTGGTCCCACTAGGAGAGGAGGGGGATGCTGGAGGAGAGAAGGGAGAGGACGAGACAAGTGGAGAGAAAGACATACTTACATGCGGCAGAAGAGGAGGGAGAGCAGGCCCGGGGATAGCCCACAGCCGGCCACTGCGAGCGTCCAGACGAGGAGGCCGAGAGCGATTAGGCGGAAGGGGTTGTGGCGCTTGGAGGCATGGGCGAAGAGAGGGGAGGCGGTGAGGAGACCCACTAGGAAGGCCGTTGCTAGTAGACCATCCTGGAAGTTGGAGAGAGCAAAGTCGCCCCTGGATTATAAAAAATGGGGGTGGAGGGGAAAAGAGGGAGGGGATATGCATCGATCAACGAGGCGGTGGGAAGCTGTGTGAGGAAGGCCATGGGGAGCAGACCATCTTGGAAGTTGGAGAGAAGTATTTCATTGAAGTGGGGGTACATAACCAACTCAACCTACTGTGGCGGAAATTTGATCGGAATTGACTGCCCCTACAACTCACTGAATGCCACTGCCAGCGTCACAGATGTCCCCCTGGCAGTGCGAAGGAGAGCCGTTGATTCCGTTGCTGGCGATGGCCCCCCGGTCGATGTAGTTCACCATGTTGATGGCGCAGAAGAGAAGCAGCAGGCTGGGGGGAGAGAAAGGACGATAGGGGGAGATGGGGGTGGAGAGAGCAGCAGTGTCATCAACCTCTCGTATGGCTGTCAATGGCACCTCGATCGATGTAGTTCACCATGTTGATGGCGCAGACGAGGAGTAAGAGGCTGGCGGGTATGGGAAGGGAGGTGGGAAGATAGCGCGAGGAGGGGTTTAGAGAAGCACTGTCAGAACCCTCGTGCTGCTGGCGATGGCTCCCCGGTGGATGTAGTTCACCATGCTGATGGCGCAGAAGAGCAGCAGCAGGCTGAGAGGGGGAACAGGAGGGATGGGAGTGCAGGGTGTCACTGCCAATGATTCTCGTGCTGCTGCCAGCGATGGCTCCCCGGTGGATGTAGTTCACCATGTTGATGGCGCAGAAGAGCAGCAAGAGGCTGGAAGGTGGTGGGCGGAAGAGAGAGGGAAGGGTAGAGAGTTAAGCGTGTTAATCATGGAGGCTCCTCAAGAAGGGTGCAGGCGAGAAGGAGGAGGCTGGATTGGAAAGGGAGCAAGGAGGGGATGGAGAGTGGTTGTGCTGTATCAAGGATGCATGGCAGTGTGAGCGGCGCTGCTACCACCCTCGATGTACTTGGCAATGCTGAAAGAGCGGAGGAAGTGCAACGTGGAAAGTGGCTATTGGTCGCTCAACAATGCGTCAAGCCACCACCGCAACCGGACCCACCGCTCACGCCAGCGGTGCCGTTTAAGAGGTTCCAGGAACCCTGAACCAGACCCACCTCTCATGTCAGCAGTGCCTTTTGAGTCGTTTCAGCAGTCCAAACCGGACCTATCGCCCACGACGCAGCAACCACAAATGATTAATAGCCATCCTCAAATTCGATCTCTTGTGTCGCTCACTTGAGATCAAATTTCAGTCGACTCAAAAGGTCAAGACACACAGCTCACGCCAGTAACGCGGCAGCGCAGCGCGACCGCGGCAATTGGGGCAATCTCGGAATTCGCGGCGACCCACCTCTCGGCGCTGCAGCCACGTGGCCGTTGTCGCGGCGCGGGAGAAGCATGATAGACGCCGTCGCCGCTGCCGTCGTTGCCGCCGCAATCGGCGGGAGGGTGCGGAACGATTGGGTCTGACTCGTCCATTCCCGGCTCGGCTCGGCGCGTAGCGACGCGCGTCGCGGCTCGGTTCCGTTCGGCTCGGCTCGGTTCGGCTCGGTGCGGAGCGACGGGCTTCGCACGGACTCCACTCGAAACGGTACCTTCTTGGGCAGATTTTTTATTTAAAATTCAAACGAATTTCGACTAGAAATTAATAATAGAAGGTCGGGCTACACGTTGGGGACGGCCACTAACAGAGCACGCGCTGAGGGCGAACGGCTGAGATCGTCGGTGGCGTGAGGAGTCTCTGTGAAACCGTCGATGCACCTACGTGGGTTTACCAGCAGCAGAGCGAGCGTCTAGGCGAGCGGCAATGGCGGCAAACTTGGGAGTGGCAGTCACGTGTCGCCTAGGTGAATGTCAGGTTCAGTGTGAGTCATGCTCTATAAGAGGAAAATTCGATAATGAAACGAGGCAAATCGCTTCCAGCACTACACCAAGTAACACCAGCCAATTAGCCGATCTAGCTTGTTTGCGTTGGACTGGTCAACTTCCCATTGACTTAGCGCCCAACCAAGAGAAAACATTTATACAACTCAAGCAAACTAAATCAGAAATTTTACTAGCAAAGGCAAATTGAGCAAACCAAAATTCAAATATTCATTCCTAGTCCACCAACCAACTTCACGACCACTCCGGATCCAACCATGTTGCTCCTTTACGGTTGGATCTATTCCACCATATACGGGAAGCACCAATCCAGGTCCTCGTACTGTACCCCACCCCCACCTTTGGTTTCCTTTCCTTAAAACCTTGTCTAATGCTCTATATGAAGCATGGGGAAGGTGCTGTGCTGTGGATCTACTTATAGAGACACCAGAATTTGGTTGCCTCACGGTGATACAGTACCCCAGCCCAGGCTCATGGTCTCTGAAGCGTGAGGAACCAAAGCAGGGTGCAAAAAACTGCATACAGAGCACTGCAGTGCAGACCAGCCCGACCTAGTGGTCTCTAAAGTGGGCAGTAAGATTATTGCATCACACAGCACTGCAGACCGGCCTAATGATCTCTGAAGCGCGAGGGGCCGAAGGAAGGCGCGAGCATCTGGAAAAGGCCATCAGGGTTGTCGGTGTGGACCTGAGGGGGTGGGGATTGGGAGAGAGCAGGGAATGGTGCAGGGAATTGAGGGTGTGAGGATGATGAAGAGGGTGCAAGGAAGGCTCGGGAAGAGGCCGTCCAGGTTGTCGGTGTGGACCTGGGGGGGTGAGGAATGGGGAAAGGACGTGTGAAAGGGTGTGTGCCGCCTTGCTATTACACAGCGCGAGGCGCCGAAGGAAGGCGCGAGCATCTGGAAGAGACCGTCCGGGTTGTCGGTGTGGACCTGAGGGGGTGGAGATGGGGTACAGGAAAGGAAGTGAGTATACATTTGGAACATGAAAGTGGAGGGAAGGGATGTGAAAGGACCATGCCTCCATGCCCCAACCATGTCCATTACACCTTGAGACCCCTTTGCACCGCACTGCACTCACCCAGAGCCCGACATCTTCCAGCACGTGCATCCTCACGGCAGCGCCATGCCCCATCGCCTCCTGCTCTGCTCCCGCTATCCTCCGAATGTCCCATTGCCCACACCAACAATGCCTCTGAAACACCTTGAAACCGCTTTGACACGCCTAGAAATACCCAGGAACCACACTAAACCGCACTGCACTCACCCAGTGCCCGGCATCTTCCAGCACGTGCATCCTCACAGCAGCGCCATGCCCCATCGCCTCCTGCTCTGCTCCCACTATCCTCCGAATGTCATCCCGCGCCCACCGGTGCAGCGATCTCTCTGCTCTGAGGAAGTTGATGTGCACTCCCTCTGGCACGTCCTCCACTAGATGCCTGGGAGGGGTTTAGGAAGGGCGGGGAAGGAGGGGGATACAGTAGACAGTCACCGCACAGCACAGGTGCAGCAAGCGCTCTGCTCGCAGAAAATTAATGTGCACTCCCTCTGGCACATCCTCCACTAGATGCCTGGAAGGAGGGGGCGCTGGGAAGATGGAATTACCGCACAGCACCATACACCACACCGCACCACACCACACCACACCACACCACACAGCACTGCACATACTCTGTCAAACTCACCACAAGTTTGTCGTTTCATAAGAAGAGTACATTTGAGAAATCCCCTCCAGATCAAAAGCCCACCCATACGCCGCCTGCCCTTTACTCGCTGCCCTGGCCGCCTCCTCATGCTTCTGCTGCTGTTGTGAAGACGGCAGGTCCCGCACGAGATCTAGTGAAGGCAGGAGCGTCTTGGACAGGTTGGTGGTCATCCACTGCGCGATGGGCTTGGAGAAGCCCTGCAAGAGGAGGGTGTTCACCACCTCGCTGCGATCCAGAATCTGAGGAGGGGAGTACAGTGGGGGAGGGGAGGGTTGGGATGAGCAACAGGGGGGGGCAACGTGGGGCCATAAACAAGGGAGCAATGTGGGAAGGCGCAAGGGAAGGGGTGGGAGAGGGAGCAGGGTCAGAGGAGTGGGTGGGAAAATTTAGATGAGGAGCAAGGCAGACTGGGAGGAAGGCGATTGAGGGCGGGAGCAGTGTGCAAGTTAGCGAGAAAAGTTGAAATATTGGAATCTTAAGGGTTTTTATTGAAGATTTCACATCTGATTACTGAAACGAAGCCTTACCAGGGGTGGCATGCCTCTGAGTGCGTCGATCAGGTCAGCTGGATGGTCCTCCCCGTCACCTCCGGCCCTCACTTTGCCCGGTGTAGCGTCCAGCACCCACACCTGAGTGAGGAGGGGAGAGAGAAGAGGGTTGGTAATGGTGAGAGGGAGAGGTGAGCGACGAGTCAGAGAGGAGATGCCGGAGGAAAACCAAAGTGCACTTTTGGTTCTCAAAAGAAAACCCGAGTGCAATTCTAGTTCTCAAAGAAAAACCGAAGTGCACTTTTGGTTCCCAAAGAGTCCACAGCTAAATGACTTGTGGGTCGACTCAAAAGTCAAAGAGTCATAGCGCGATTTGCCGAGCGTGGGTTCTAATGTAACACCCGTACTTGAGGGGAGGAGAGACGGGGAGAGAGCAGCAGAGAGGGGCGCAGCGTGCAAATACCTTGATAGCGCTGGGCATGGGCTTGGCTGCTTGGTCTATCATGCTTAAAGCCACTGTGTGGTTTGATAAGGGGGAGAAGAATAGAGAGGAAAGCAGGAGAGGAGGGGATGAGGGTGAGAAAGCGAGGGGAGACAATGAGCGCAATGGGCACATGGGTTTTGCTGCTTGGTCTATCATGCTTAAAGCCACTGTGTGGTTCGATGATATATGAGGGGGAAGATTGGAGGGGTAGGGGTAGGGGCAGGAGAGGAGAAGAGAGGTGAGAGGAGGAGAGGGGGCAGGGAGGGCACTGGGCATGGGCTTTCTGCTTGGTCTATCATGCTCAAAGCCATTGTAAGAGTTGATGGGGGACGTCAGAGGGTAGTAGGAGGGGAGGCTTGACATGGATGGCGTCTCAAGGGGAGAGGGGGAGAAGGGGCGACCGGGAAAGGAGAGGGGGAGGAGGGGGAGAGGAGGAGAGGGGGAGAGGGATAGCTGGGGAGAGGGGTAAAAGGGAAGCGGATGGGGTGTTTGGAGAAGAATAGGGCAGCAGAAGAGCATTCGAGAAGAGAGCCAGAATAGAAGAGCAGCAGAATGAAAGAGGGGGTAGAGAATTTACAATGGGTGGGGTGGGGTGGGGTGGGGTGGGGTGGGGAGGGGTGAGGTGAGGTGGGAAGAGCAGTGTGCAGAGAAAGTGGGGAAAGGAAAGGAAGCGAGTACAGATGGTGAATTCATGGGGGAGAGGAGAAGAATGGAAGTTCCAGAAAAGGTCCTGAGAGAGCTTATAAAGAGGATGGTGAGGCTCGATATAAGTGAATGCACCTTTGCCGCCGAAGCTGTGGTCGATGAGAATGCTGGGAGTGATGCAGACCACTGCAGGTGCTGGAGAAGCTTATCAAGAGGATGTTGAGGTAAATATAGTTGAGTTGAATGTACCTTTGCCGCCGAAGCTGTGGCCGATGAGAATGCGGGGGGTGATGCGGAGACGACCCATCTGAGTGGAGGGGAGGGAGGGGAGGGAACGGGGAGGAAGGGAGAGGGGAGGGGATAGAACAAGGGAAGGGGAGATGGGAGAGGGGAGGAGAGAGGAGAGGAGAAAGATGAGAATGTGGAGAGTGATGTGCATGCGACCTATCTAAGAGGAGAGGGTAGATGGGAGAGCAGAGGTGGGGTAGACAATGCGCCCCACCCAGAAAAGAGGGGTAAATGGAAGGCACACCCACCACCCACATAGTAACGACAAGAATGAGTAGTGCCCAATAACAACAGGATGGCACATCGAAGCAGCCACTCACCAGGTGCAGCACATCCTTAGCAACAAAGTGCACTAAGTGCGGTCCCAGGTGTCTTGATGCTGCTAACGGAGGCTAACGGACTCTTATCTGCCCACGGTCAGAAAAAAACTAAATCCCATTTGGATGGCATGCGACTAGGGACCTCAACCCCAAATACGGGTAACCGAGATATCTCCGTTTCAACGCCAAGGATGTCTCTCGCCGACGCAGTGGCAGGGATGGTTTGGGCAGATAAATCCCCCGTCACATCACATCCTCTATCACAGACACATTTCCTCGGATTCCTCGCCATGCAGTAGCAAGATCTGTTTGAGCAGACACAATCGAATTACCCCCGCAATTGCCGTAGGTAGTCGAGACCCCCGCCATGCCCGTCGGCGCAGAATCAACTGCTCAGATTCCCGTAGACGGTGGGGCGGCAGTGCACGCTCTTCGCCAAGTGCACGCTCATGGCGAAGGCGTGGAAATGCAACTGCGGGCTTAAGGCTCCACGCCCCGAACATGTCCATCCAACCAACTATAGTTTCATCTCGCGGCTCTTGTCACATAACATCTCTCACTGCCAATCCAGGGATGGAAGACGAAAACCGCAGCAGCGACAAAAACTTCAGCGGCGCAGAGTCAGATTACGACTCGGGAGATGATGAGTTATGTTCTCAGGCGGAAGTGAACTGGAGGAAAAGGTTCGATAATCTGGGCGCTGAAGGCTGGAATTTTGGCTCATGGCCATGCTATGTTCCCGGTTGTAGCTCTAACGGAAAACGCTAGAAGAATATCCAAGCATATGAGCAGCACTTGCTTGGATAAGCACCCGAAAAGCTCCATCACCACGAAATGGATGCCGTTCATGCGGCAACGACAACAGAATGAAAACCTGGTGGCGCGTTATGGGTATCCGAATATGAGAGGTGATTGGCACACTAGATGGTGGCGGACATCCACAACTCGCCACCGGGTTTTTATTCTGCTGCCGTTGCCGCACGAACGTCGTCCATTTCGTGGTGATGAAGCTTTTAGGGTGCTTATCCAAGCAGTGCTGCTCATATGCTTGAAAATCCTTCCAACATTTTCCGTTAGGGCTACAGCGGGGAAGATAGCATGACCATGAGCCGAAATCCCAGCCTTCAGCGCCCAAATTATTGAACCTTCTCCTCCAGTTCACTTCTGCCGGAGAACATTACTCATCATCTCCCGAATCGAAATCTGTTTCTGAGCCGCTGAAGTTTTCGTCGCTGCTGTGGTTTTCGTCATCCATCCATGGATCAGCAGTGAAAGATGTTCTATGACAAGAGCCGCGCGATAGGACTATGGTTGGTTGAATGGACATGTTCGGGGCGTGAAGCCTTAAGCCCACAGTTACGTTTTCACGCCTCCGCCATGAGCGTGCATTTGGCGAAGAGCGTGCACTGCTACCCCACCGTCGACGAAAATTTGAGCAATTGAGTCTGCACCGACGGGCATGACGGGGGTCTCAACTACCTACGGCAATTGCGGGGGTAATTCGATTGTGTCTGCTCAAACAGACCTTGCTACTGCATAGCGTGGAATCCGAGAAAATGTGTTTGCGATAGAGGATGTGATGTGACGGGGGGTTTGTCTGCCCAAACCAGCCCTGCCACTGCGTCGGTGAGAGACATCCTTAACAAGAAACGGAGATGTCTCGGTTACCCGTATTTAGGGTTCAAGCTTCCCTGGTCGCATGCCATCCAAATGAGATTTAGTTTTTTTTTAATAAGGGCAGATAAGGGTCCAACTCACCAAGTGCAACACCCACCCACCCACACACCAGGTGCTACACCCACTCACCAGGTGCAGCACCCACCCGCCCATCCACCCATCCACCCACCAACCCACCCACCCACTCACCAGGTGCAGCACGTCCTTGGCAGCAGAGTGCACTGAATGAGGACCCAGGTGGCTCAATGCTGCTGTGGAGGCACAACCAGTATCCGCCAAGAGCAGAGCACAGGCACCGACCAACACAGCAAGCAGCACTCATCAGCAAGGCGCACCAACCCACCAGGTGCAGCACCCACTCACCAGGTGCAGCATGTCCTTAGCAGCAGAGTGCACTGAGTGCGGTTGTCTGAATGCTGCTGTGGACGCTCAGCCAGCATTACCTATCAAAAGCAGAGCCCACCAGCCACACCCACAAACCCACCAGGTGCAGCACGTCCTTAGCAGCAGAGTGCACTGAGTGTGGCGCCAGGTGCCTCGATGCTGCTGTGGAGACACAACCAGTAGCACCTATCACGAACAGTGCACAGCAAGCAGCACCCAACAAGCAGCACCCACCAACTCACCAGGTGCAGCACGTCTTTAGCAGCAGAGTGCACTGAATGCGGTCCCAGGTGCCTCGATGCTGCTGTGGACGCCCCGTGGCAGCGCAGGTCCACACACAGGAACTGGGGGTGAATGGGAGGGGGGAGTGCGGGTGGTTACAGGGTGGAGGGAGCACGGACAGGAAGGGAAGGGGAAGGAGGGGCTGGAGTTGTGGTGCTGCTGTGGAGGCCCCATGACAACGCAGGTCCACGCATAGGAACAGGGGGAGGGGGTGGGAGGGGGGAGTGTGAGAGGGTGGGTGAGGATTGGCAGATTGTAAAGGGGAGCAAGGCATGGCTCTGTTGGTGGTGCTGCTGGGGAAGCCAACAGTGGATAAGCGCACTCCACCACCCTTCACCGCACTGCACCCACAGACACTAGCGTGGCACGGGTTCACATGATGAGGCTGTGGAATTACCATACAATCCAGGCTCACACACAGCATACTCAGACAAGCACCAACCCACCTGCAAGGCGGGGAACTCAGAGGCTAGCCTCCTGGAAAACGAGCCCCAGTTCTTGCCGCTGCCCAGAATGCCGTGAATGGATGAGCACTGCTGTGGGGGGTGGTGGCAAAGACAACCCTCCCCCCCCTCCCCACCATGCGCATTCATCCACGCAAGGCAAACACCAGACAACCCACCTGCCAAGCGGGGAACTCTGTGGCGAGGCGGCGAGCAAAGGAGCCCCAGTTCTTGCCGCTGCCCGGAATGTCGTGAATGAGCACTGCTGTGGGGGGAGGAGGCTAATGCCGCCCCTCCTCTCACTGCACACACCAATCCGGCAAGGACACATGCACCCACCTGCCAGGCAGGGAACTCGGTAGCAAGCCTTCTGGCGAACGAGCCCCAGTTCTTGCCGCTGCCTAGAATGCCGTGAATGAGCACTGCTGTGGGGGGAGGGGGCTGGCGGCGAGTGCGGTCCTCCGACCAACGCACCTGATGGGCGGGGAGATGGAGGGAGGGGGGGGGGAGAAAGGAGAACCGGAGGACAGAAGGGAGGGGCAGAATGCAGTGGATGTATGAGCACTGCCGTGGGGGGAATTGGTGGGCTGGCGGCGAGTGCGGTCCTCCGACCAACGCACCTGAGACGAGGGCGGGGGAAGGGAGACGAGAAGAGGCAACTTGAAGCTACATTAGGGAATCTCTCACAAGTGACACAGCCAGATGGGATGGGTTGGGGCAACAGTCAGTGGCGTTTTTTGGATTCACAAAAGCAAAAGGGAGAATCAGAGAGTTACGCATCAGTGTGGGTTGCTCCGGCTTGGAAGAGAGGAGGGGCACGTAAGACCGTTCGAGCGAGACATGTGGGCAGGCGATCGACAGGTGAGTGAGAGGCGCGGGAGGGAGGGTGAGGGGAACGGGGGGAGCGGGAGGGCGAAGGGGGGAGGAAGGAAGGGAAGGACAAACGATACCGTTTGAACGAGACAGGTGGGAGAATGGCAACTTTGACTGACTGTTAAAAGGACGAGGTGGAGGAATGGACTGACACACACGGTGTAAGGCGAGAGGTGGGTGGGCGCGCGAGGGGTGAGAGCGAGCAGGGATGGTGAGAGAATTGGGGGAATGACGAGTTTGGACTACTGAGGAAGGAATGAACTGAGGAGTGGATTGACACACGAAATCGTGTAAGGCGAGAGAGAGGCGAGGACGGAGAAGAGGAGAGGCAGGGAGGAAGAGAAAAAACAGAAAATCTCACCAGTGCGCCTTGCACGAGCATGTATGACTGGACGGATGGAGGCGAGACAGGGATAAGTGGCATGGGGGGAAGAGGCAATAGGCGAGGTGGGGGAAGGGGCAAGAGGCGAAGCGAGGGGACGAGCAGCAAGGGAGGATGAAGAGAAGGGTGCTCACCAGTGCGCCTTGCACGAGCTCGTATGACTGGACGGATGGAGGCGAGGCACCCACAGTTGGCCCGAACGATTTGATGCGGCAGGCAGCATAGATGGCAGGGGCGGGATAACACATGTCAGAAAAAAATGGCACGGAGTGGGGAAGTGTGGGGCGGGTGGGGGAGCGAGGACGGGGTGCGGGGGGGATGGGTGGGGATGGTGAGGGGGTGTGGGGGTTGGAAAGTGAAGAGGGAGTGAGAGGCTATACATGTGTTCGCATTGTTTGGATGGCTTGGAAGCAGAATACAGAGGCAAGCCAAGCTGCAATCTGGATCACCCAGGAAGATTCTCGATCCGGATCACAACACCGTGTCAAACTTTGAGATAGCCTCTCACTCCCAAACTGTCAAGTCCCCGTGTCTATCACAAGTTGGACCCCTTGTTGCTTGCTCCTCCCGAACCACTCAATCCAACGCATGACTTTCGCTCGCAATCCACTGCCGCCCTCCTCTTGTTCCCCGTCCCGTTCCCTCCCCTTTTCCTCCCCTTCCCCTCCCCTCTCCCTTCTCCCTCCCCTCTCCCTTCCCTTCCCCCTCCCCTCTCCCTTCCCCTGCCCTCTCCCTTCCCCCGCCCCTCCCCTCCCCCGCTCCCCTGCCCCCAGAGACCACTGCGCTCACCAGCTCAGCCACGGGACTCGGCCCCGCCCTGGCCGCACGTCCGTCTAAAGCTTGCCCCACCTCGCCGCCCAGTAGCACCTCCCGCATCTCCTCCACCGACGGCTCTCGCGCTCTCCGCTGCCGATCGTACGGTGGAGACGACACGAACTCGAAACGCGGCCCGACAACTGTCTCTGTCGCGCCGCCGTCAGGCGCCGCGGCGGCGGCGGCCTGCCTGCCCCTAGCGATGCCTTTCGCGGCGGGAGCGGAAAAACGCGGGGAGGCAGCGGCGGAGGCGGCGGAGGAGGTGGTGGGTGGCGGGGAGGAGTGAGGCGGGGAGTGGGAGGACGAGGGAGATGGAGAGGAGGGGTCTGCGAGGGATGCTTGGGTCGGGACGAACTTGACAATGCGAATGCCGTTGACGATGCTGGTGGTGATGGTGGTGCGGCTGCTGCTGCTACCGAGTCTTATGTAAGTGTCGGAATTAGGGACGGCGGGGGATGCTAGAAGGGGGAACCGCGGGAGGGCGTTTCGGCGGGATTGTGACTGTACGCGAGGAAAAGGAGGGAGGAGGGAGGACGAACAAAGGGAGCAAGATAAGGAAGAGAAGGAAGTCTAAAGTTGTGAAACCTTGAGGCTGGGACGATTCTCATAAGGGAAGGGAATGGGGGGGAATGGTGGAAAGGGAAAACGGTAGAGGGGGAAGGAGAGAAGGGAAGGGGAAGAGGTGGGAGGACGGAGGAGAGAAGGGAAGAGGAGGAGGGGGGGAGAGAAGGGAAGGGAGGAGGGAGAGAAGAGAAGGGATGAGGGAAGGAGAGAAGGGAAATGAAGGAAGGAAGGGGAGCAGGGGAAGGAGGGAAGGATAGAAGTGAACGGGAGGCGGGACGCACCGCCAAGCGCGTGGCGCCCCTTGAGATCGACGCAGATGATGATGCGGCGCGGGGATTGGTGACGTAAGACCCGGCGGGGGAGCGAGGCGGGGCGTAAAGGGATCGCGACAAGCCGGCAATCTTAGAGACTGACATGGCGGCGTAGCGACGGGCGACGCGTGCGAGATTCGCGATTTCGAAGCGTGCGAACGTCGCGATGTCGACGCGTATGAAATTTCGCGGTTTCGATGCGAGTGTTCGTCACGATTAATATTCAAACGCGCGCGACTCGAGTAGCGTGCACGAATTATCGGACGTTGGCGAAAAGGTTGTCACGAGGGAAACGTGAGAGCCGTTGGATACGATCAGCAGGAATGCTGGAAAAAAAGCGGTAGAAGAAAGCTGCAGGTGAGCGTTAACATATGAAAGGATTCGAGTGTTCTTCAACCTGTCAGTTTCTCCCGACAGGCACCTGCACCATTCTACAAACAAGCAGGAGGGATGGGGGGGAGGGAGTGCCTTGTGGTTGGGTGGGCTGGGGTGGGGTACGACGACTCGCAGCAGCACACAAAGCAACTCGACTCGAGGGATGGATGCAGGGTGTAGAGAATACAGCTCAGCTGAGCAGGCAAGTTGTGGTCGTTGTGACTCCCCAGATTTGTTCGTTGCTTTCGAATTCGCGACACAGAGCTTTGCTGTTAGTGGCCGTCAATTCTGTCAGAGCTGTCGCCGACAGAAAGGGATGGTGTTCACGAGACACAAGCGAAAAGTAACACAGTTCGTCAACCCTGAACAGGGATCACAATCTCGATGATCTGTGCTCGACGCGGTTCGACGACACCTTTGCTGGCTGGCGAAGCGAGTGACGATTGGCGAACTGGCCTAGCACAAATTTCGGAAATGGACGGAAAGCTGACCCTCGTTCAATCAAACTGTCCCGACTCTCGAGTGGAACTGAGCACACACGTGTACTCCCGGGCAGACGACTGGAAAGAAATGTCAACCGTTGCGCGAACACCTGGTCAATTCACCACCATCCAATACATTATGAGCATCTAGCAGGGTTTTAGGATGACGTGGAAAACCACGTCCAACCACGGAAAAGTGTCGATACAGCTAGACCTCGTCTCACCTGCACGTGTGAGATTGCGGAATGGAACGAATGGCTGTTGTTGCGAATGTCGAGTCAGTCTGGAAGGAACCCTTTTGACTTTCTGCACCACTGCACTTCGTGCACTCGTAAGAAAAAACGTAAAATCGTGTAGATAAAACATTATTGATAAGGCTATCACATCTCCAAAGGGCGGACAGCAATCCCGGTGGGTCTATCTGCACACGGCATGAGCGGCACATCCGGCGCTACAGCCAGCAGCAGCTGTAGCTGCTGGGGAACCCCATCCGGGCACCGGTCATTACTGGGCGGGAAGTGCAAGCACGGCTCAGTTACCGCTCGGATACATGTGGGCCCCACAAAGGAAACATAGGGAACTCCGAAGAGAGACGCGCTAACGTACCCAAAGGTGGAGTTGCGGGAGATGACAAGAGCGTCAGAGAAGAGAGCGAGTGTGTATATGTCGAGAATGGCGCGATCGACTAGACCGGTGTCGGTGTTGTTTTCTGACTCGTCGACCGTTAGCCGAGCAATGTGCACACGGGAACCCACCAGGTATGCGACGCCTTTTTTGGGAAGACGTTCTTCCGCCGTGGCAGCACAAGGGGTGTCGCTCCCTACAGTCACGCTTACTCCCGGCACGCTGCCTGCTACAATCACCGAAAGGTTGTGAGCTAACACAGGACTCAACGACGCCACCATCACCTCAGTCGCACCGCTTGGAGAATCGTTCTCAACCGCACTGCACCCATCACCACCACTGCCACTGGTATCATCACCACTTGTACCACCCCGGTTTGATAGCCGTACCTCCCGTGCCTGGTGCACAGAGGAGGAGTTGAGTGCCTCTAGCAAGCACCGCCCCATAGCCTTGGTCTCCCAGGGGATCCCCCTTTCCAAAGCCTGCTTCTGAAACCGTCCCTGCAGACCTATCCGGGCAGAGGCCGGGGCAATGAGGGTGTGAAATCGGTGGGTGAGTTGCGCCCAGATGCGGTTGCGGGGGAAGAGGAGGAGGCGGGAGAGGGAGCGGAAGGGGTGATGGGAGGGGAAGAGGAGGATGAGGCGGCGGCGGAAGGAGGGGAGGAGGTAGAGGGCCGGGAGGAAGTATTGATTGGAGTAGCTGAGAAGGGTAGGCGTGCGGGAGAGCCACTGCTGCTCGGATTCACAGTAGAAGAGATGACCGGATGGTTTGGTGAAATGGGTGATGTCGACCCGTAGGCTGCAGGGGAGCGGAGGAGGGAAGGGACGAAGAAAGGGGACGTTAAAGGGGAAGAGAAGGAAGAAAGGATATGCAAAAGCAAAGGAAGGAAGAGGAAAAGAGAAGGGAAAAAACGATAAAGGGAAGAGTGCGGGTGAGGGAAGGGAAAGAGAGAAGTAAGGACATGTCGAAAAACGAATGCTAGAAAGCTGGAACGAAGGACTACCTCCCGCTACGTAGCACGCCTTGAAAACATGAGGCGATCTAGATGGCTGCATCATCTTGACGATCCACATGCCGTCGACTATATTCCCTTTAAGAAGGGGGAAACTGCGTTGGGTGTCAATGGATCTCCAATATGCTATCTCTGCGTCCATGGATGTTATCCACTAAGAGGTCCACGTTCTCAAGATCGCCTCAGAGTAAATGCGTGGAATCAGGATGTCAAGAGCGCCTGGGTCCCCATCTACAACTAGCAGCATGGTACAGAGGTGAGGAACAACGACAGCAAATAACTCCAGCTCAAACTGTTTGTCCTCGAGAACTTGTTGCACTCAGACACTGGTTGCACGGTATGACATGAGATGATATGGCATGGTATGGCATGAGACGGTATGGCATGAGACGGTATGGCATGGCACAGTATAGCATATGGCATACGTACACTGGTGGTACCATCGAACCGCTCTCTTCCTCCTCGCGCACGCTGCTCCACTCCTTAGCCACCTTAAACCGCAGCATCCACACATACTTCTCCTGATCCGGCCCATCAAACAACACCCACGACGCATCTTCACCCGCCTCTTGACCTGCCTCCTGCCCTGCCCCAACAGCCGAGCCATGTTGACCCGTTGCCCCGTGCTCAAACGGCTCGCAGTATTCTTCAGCCAGGCCGCTACCAGACGCAAGCAGGAGAATCCGGTCGGTTAGCAGCGCGTAAGCAAACGCAGAGATGAGCGAGACGAGCCGGTTGCCCTGCCCGTCTCTCGTGTGGTAGTAGACCAGGTAGCGACAGAGCGTGGGCTTGTTGGCTAGGAGGGTGGCTCGAAGGGTTTCTTTAGGTTCTTTTAGCAGGCACTCGCGCCGGTACGTGTGGTACTGGCGCATTTTCATCTCAAGCCTCTCTGACATGTCGCCTCCTGTGCTTCCCGCACTGTCCGCATAGCATGGGAGCTCGGCCCTGCTCCAGCACTTTCCCGCCTCACGCTTGTACCGGGAGGAATGAGGAGATGCGTGGGGGGAGGTGTCAGGGGAGGCGTAAAAGGGCGCGTGTGCCTCGCTCCGTAAGCCACGGGCTGGCCTCTCCTTGCCCCCATTGCTACCACCGGTGGTGCGGGAGGGGGTGGCGGTGGTGGTGGGAGTGGTGGTAGTGGTAGTGGTGGTGGTGGGGTTGGGGGTGTTTTCTGGGTCAACTGATGATGGGAGGCCCACTCCTGCTGCAAAGATGTCGGCACAGTCTGCAGTGGGAGTGAGAAGGGGAGAGAAGGGAGGGGAAGGGGAGGTACGGGAGGGAGGTAAAAGGCGACGGGGAGATCAGGAGGAGGCTTGGGGTGTAGTACCATAGGAAAGCGCAGGCGTTACAAAAACATAGGTGCTAATAATAGGTGCTGTACCAAACAGGTGCTACTAATTGATGATAAAAGCAGGTGTTAGAAACAGGTGCTACTAACAAATTATAATAGCAGGTGCTAATAACAAGTAACAGTAACAAGTGGCAATAACAGGTGATATAGCAGGTGCTAAAAGCAGATGCTAAGTAGGTGCTAAAACGGTGTTAATACAGAGGAAAAAAAAAAAAAAAAAAAAAAACGCACGCACGCACACACACACACACACGAACACATTTTGTGAAAAAATGCAGGTTCTACTCTGCATCAGAATTAGGCCACAGCGTTACGCCTCACAACCTTCCGGCAATGCACCAAACGCACACTGTGGGGCTATGCGTGAGTCCCCTCTGAGAATTTTCGAAAAGAAAGAGAAAAGATAAACAACCAGCGGCAGACGGGCAGGCGGTTTTGAGGAGGCTGGTTACCAGCACCTCTATCATGAGACTCCGTGCTGGTTACCGTGTGCCCTACAGACAGACATCAGATTGCACATCCCAGCGACTGGTGGGCAGGTGGTCTTGAAGAGGCTGGTGGGTACCAGCACCTGTACCATGAGACTCCGTGCTGGTTACCGTGTGCCCTACAGACAGACATCAGATTGCACATCCCAGCGACTGGTGGGCAGGTGGTCTTGAAGAGGCTGGTGGGTACCAGCACCTGTACCATGAGACTCCGTGCTGGTTACCGTGTGCCCTACAGACAGACATCAGATTGCACATCCCAGCGACTGGTGGTTACCAGCAAGCAAAGCAGGTGGTTACGAGCAAGCAGGTGGTTACCAGAAAGCAGGTGGTTACGAGCAAGCAGGTGGTTACCAGCAAGCAGGTGGTTACCAGCAAGCAGGTGGTTACCAGCAAGCAGGTGGTTACCAGCAAGCAGGTGGTTACCAGAAAGCAGGAGGTTACGAGCAAGCAGGTGGTTACCAGCAAGCAGGTGGTTACCAGCAAGCAGGTGGTTACCAGCAAGCAGGTGGTTACCAGCAAGCAAAGCTTGAGCCTTATGGGCATGGGATCGCACATAGCCACAGCAGCTCATACGTACCTTTGAGGCTTCTTCTGTGCTCCAAAGCCGAGATTCCATGTGGAAAGGTGCCAATGCAGGCGAAGCAGGCCAGCAGCAGCAGCAACTCCTCGTACCTCTGAGGCTTCTGCTGTGCTTTAAGGCCCACACCCCATGTGCGATGGTGCCGATGCAGGCGAAGCAGCAAGCAGCAGCAGTGACAGCATGAGGTGGGGTGGGGAGCCAAGCCTGTAGCGCACATAGCAGCAGCAACAGCACCGCGTACCTTTCAGGCTTCTGCTGTGCTCCAAGGCCCACACCCCATAAGGGATGCTGCCGATGCTGCAGGCTAAGGGGGTCAGTAGCAGCAGCAGCAGTAGTGGCGGAAGCAGCATGCGGTGGGGGAGCCTAGCCTGTATCGCACACAGAACTCGTTGGTAGTGGTCTTACCTCTGAGGCTTCTGCTGTGCTCCAAGGCCCACACCCCATGTGGGATTGTGCCAATGCAGGAGCAGCAGATCAGCAGCAGGCAAGCAGCAGCAGCAACAGCAGCAACAGCACCTCGTACCTCTAAGGCTTCTACTGTGCTCCAAGGCCCACACCGCATGTGGGATTGTGCCAATGCAGGAGCAGCAGATCAGCAGCAGCAGCATGCGGTGGTGGAAGTGACTGCGCCTGCCCTCACATGCTGTACGGCAATAAAGAGAGAAGATTCTGGGAAAGGGGAGAGACGGGGAATGAGGTGGAGTAGGGAGGGGTTAGAGGTAGTAGGCAGCATGTTGGGTGGTGGCACTGGGAGTGTGTGTGTGCGTGCATCAGCTCATAGAAGCGACAAAGGGAGGAGTGGGGAGGGAAGGGAAGTAGAGGGTGAGAGGGAAGTGTGCACGCATCAGCTCACAGGGATCAAAGAATAAGAAAAAAATCCGTGAGGGTGGGAGGGAAGGGAAGTGACTTTTGAGGCGCCCCAAATTCGTCTCACTGTGCGCGGATTTCGTACATAGACGATTTTGGGGGTGTGGTGGGGTCGGGAGGTGTGGGAAGAGGTGAACGAGGGAACAGCGGTGCTGGGAGGCTGAGGCTGGGGGGGTGTTCTAACGTCTGACTGGGGGAACAGGTGAGGTGTTGGGAGGGGGGAGTGGGAGGTGGGACTATGGAGGAATTGGAGAAAGAGGAGTTGAATGGGGTGAAGTGTGGTTGATCTGACGGGGGAGGGGTAGGTGTGGAGAGGTGGGAGAGTGGGGAGTTGAGTGGAAGGAAACAGGGGAGACAGGCTGGTGGGGGTTGGTGGGGGAAGGTGGAAAGTGGAAAATGGAGGAAAGAGAAAGAGGAGTTGAATGTGGTGGAGGGTGGTTGACCTGACGGGGTAGGGGTAGGTGTGGAGTGCTGGGAATGGAAAGTGGGGAATTGAGTTGAAGGGAAGGGGGAGGCAGGGGAGGGTTAGGGGAAATGGTGGGGGAAGTGATAGTAGGGAGTCGGGTACCAGCAGGCTGGGTGGGAGCAGTAGGGCAAATCGGTCATCATGGATTTGTTAAATATGGCAAATTCCAAATTGGCGATTTTGTTTATGCTGTTGTGGCTGCAAGGAGTCGCTTGGTTAAAACCCGCGGGCCAAGAAAGCCCAAATTGGTTCAACCTTCTTAACTTCGGTTGAGTGTGACCCTGGCACCCAAAATCTTGGCCAATTGCATCTCTCGCCCCAACCAACCTTCCTAACGTTGAACTTCTTGGCCCGCGGGTTTTAAAGCAGCGTGCCGCTCTCACAACGGCAAAAGCGCGGATTTTTATAGTAGAAAGAAAAGTGAAAGGCGAAAAGAATGTGTGTGTAGACAGTGTGGCTCTAGCGAATGTGATTACCGAATGTGCCTATAACGAGCGTGAGTAGCGAGCGTGGCTATAGCGAGCGTGACAATACTTGGTGAAGGCGAGGAGGCCCTCCCAGAGCCAAACCAGCGCCTCTTCCCCCTTCCGCTTCCCCCCTCGCGAGTCGAACACGCAGGCGCCCGCCGCGCATCCCGCCGCACATCCCGCCGCGCAGCCCGCCGCGCCGCGCATCCCGGCTCCCCCTGCGCCCTTCCCGCCGATCCCCTAGCTGCGGGGGGACGCGCGGAGGGGCGGAAGTGACGAGAGGCCGCGATCCCACGGCGATTTACGTGCGGAAGGGCACTGCCCTGGCAGGTGAAATGCGTGGTTGCTGCGACTTCGCGGCTGGTGCGGCTGGTGCGTGGTTGCTGTACAGATCCTTCAGCCGCAGCAATTCTTTCAACTACAGCATTCCAGTGCTTCTCGCTCGGAACCCTTGCTAGGAAAGGAATAAGCTATAGCCTCGCCTCGTTAGTAAGTATTTTCGCTTCTCGCGAGCGCGCTCCGTCAGCTCTTTGCCTTCCAGGGTGACGGAAAATGTTTTCCTGGCAGGTGCAGTCGATCAACGTTGTACGCGATTGTGATTTGCGAAAATGGGATTCGCCGAGATTGAGAACAAAAAAGATGAGATTTCGTGACAGAAAATATTGTTTCAACAAATCTGCAATAATTTCTGTTTTAGTGAGGACATTGGGCATAGTTTATACCAGGACGATTTGGACGTATCGAGTATTGCAGTAACGCGGAACAATCAGGCCAATTTTCTCCTGGGCTGAGGAATTCGTAACTTGTTACAAGGATTTGGCAGGACAAAGGCATCCGCGTTATAATAGCTCAGCCCCCGCTGGGATGTTGACGCATTTCGTTCATTCCCCGCATATCCGCGTCTCCGCATATCCGCACTTCCACAGCCGTTCCGCGCGTGCCTGTTGACTCAGCGCAGAAGCCCGTGTGATCTCGATTTCCCCGCACTCCCGCCCGTCCGCGCGTCTCCCGTGGCATGGGGAAAGGCGGAGCAGGCGCAGGGGGAGCCGGGATGGGCGGCGGCGGGGGAAGCGGCGGGAGAGGCGGCGGGGGAGGCGGAGCGGCGGGAAGCGCGGTGCGCGTGTGCGTGTTCGACTCGCGGCGGGGGAAGCGGGAGGGGGAAGAGGCGGAGAAGCTTCTGTTCTTCTTTCCGCCCGCCACTCCGCCGTCCGAGCAAGTGGCGCTGCTGGGCCTCTGGGAGGGGCTACTCGCCTTCACCAGGTCTCTCGCTATAGTCCCGCTTGCTGTAGGCACACTCGCTGTGGTCACACTCGTTTAGGCATATTCTTTCCGTCAGAGCAAGTGGCGCTGCCCGCCTTCACCAGGTGACTCTGTAGAAGTCGCCTCGCTATAGTCACACTCGCTAGAGTCACACTCATTGTAGTCACACTCGGTAGAGTTACACTCGTTATACCATTATAGGCATATTCATTCTTACAGGCGACTCTGCCGTCGGAGCAAGTGGCACTGCTGGGCCCCTGGGAGGGCCTCCTCGCATCATTCACTAGGTGACTCGCTGTAGCCACACTCTCTATTGTCACAATCTCTAAAGGCAGACTGGATAATCACACTCGCTGCCCTCCTTACCTCCCGTTCCCCCCCCATCAAATGAACCACCCTCAACACCCTCTGCTCGCCCACCAGTCCCACGTTCGCCCCCATGTGCGGCCCTCCCTCTCCCCCCCGCTCCCCACTCTGTTGCCTGTCCACGTATTGCCTTCCGCCCCCCTCAGGATCTTCTCCCCCCATCGCCCCTGTGAGGTGATGCGAGCGCATTTCAACCGCCACGTGCTGCTGGAGTGTGAGCCGGGGATCTTCATGGTGCTGGTGAGTGCGGTGGTGAATGGTGCTGGTGGGTGCATGGCGCTTGCACATGCTCACAGTCATTACAGTGACACACCCAGTAGCCAGCACGCTTCATTCCACACCCACATACTGCTGGAGTGTGAGCGGGGCATATTCATGGTGCTGGTGAGTGGGTAGTGATGGTGCTGGTGAGTGGGTAGTGATGGTGCTGGTGAGTGGGTGTGAGCCGAGCACATGCTTGCTTCCACCGCCACGTGCTGCTGGAGTGTGAGCCGGGCATATTCATGGTGCTGGTGAGTGGGTGTGTGGGGTTTGCACATGCTAATGCTCACAGTCATTACAGTGACACACCCACCTCCTTCCTTCCACCACCACGTGCTGCTGGAGTGTGAGCCAGGCATATTCATGGTGCTCGTGGGTGAATGGGGCTTGCCACGTATTGAATTGAAATCATGGCACCTTCAAGGTGTTCCATCACTCTCACCATCGCCAGCATCTTCATGGCGCTTGAGAATAATCAGAGTGAGGTGACTTTTGAGTCGACTCAAAAGTCACCTGATTACTTGCTGTGCTTGCTCGTGAGTGAGTGTGAGAAACTGGTTTGCAAAACGCAAGGAGGATCTTTTTGAGGCTAATAGACCCACTTTTCACACACAAGTGCTTTTACTCCTCTGGCTCAAGCGCTTTGATCTGCTTCTAGCATTGCCGGCTTTCTTTCTACGATGAGCTAAGAAGTCAACCCTTGTGAACCTACTCACCTTCTGGTATCAGCACCTTTATAGTGATGGTGAGTGGGTGCTGCTGCTGGTGTGATGATGTCTGTGCTTTCATGCGCCCATCTTTTTATCTCCCACATGCTCTCTGCCCACTTCCATCCCCCTACCCGCCCTTACCTCTGTTCACCACTCCCCGCCAATGTGTTGTGCCGCCCAGCCATTTTCCTCACTCAAACCCATTCCCCCATGGCCCCCCATACCCCCCACTCCACCCACCCACCGCCGCCCATCATCTCATACACTTGAATTGACCCTCAGGCGGTGGAGTGGTGGAGTGGTGGAGTGGTGGAGTGACGGGGGGTGAAAATGGCGCTGTGCCTCCCACCCATTCTTCCAACTCCACCCATTCCCCCCGTTTCCACCCACTCCTCCCATTCCCCCATGCCCATCCGCCCCCATGTGCCCGAATCGAATCGCAGGTGATGGAGTGTCGGGGGGTGAACGGCGTCGTGCCGCCCGACGCTACAGTGCGCGACGAAGCTCTTCGGCAGAATCTGGTGGAGGCGCATGCCCTCTTTTGTCTCTTCTTCGGCAGCATCGACCGCTTGTTGCAGCAACAACCCCTACCTCCTCCTACTCTCCCATCAGAAGCAACAACTGGGCCCTCTTCAAATCCTTCATCAAATCTTGAGTCCAGCACACCTTCACATGATTCTCCGTCAGCCGTTCCCCCTTCAGCTGATTTAGCCCGTGCCTGCCTGAAAGCCTTCCTGCCAGACTTTCTCACAGGTGCGTGTCTCGTCTACCTCCTACGCAAGTGGCAAAAGACGCGTCCTGCGTCCTCGACGCATGCGTCCAGACGCAGCGTCCAGGACGCAGGACGCAGAATGAGGGCCTTTGAGACGCAGCAAAAAACGCAGGCCCGGGCAGGGCAAAAAAAAACCCCGGGCAGCCCAAAAAAGTTCAGATAGGGCACGGGAAGGGGGGGGGGAGGGACCGTAGCCCACTTTCATTGCAAAATTCTCCCCAACAATAAAATTTCCCCCAAAACTATAGAGCAAGATGGTGAGTCGCAAGTTCCTCAAGGTCAAACATAATCCAGTGTCGGGTTTAGAACATGCACACTAACACTAACATGCATCACTCATCCACATCCTCATCGCTCTTTTTCTCCTCCTCTTCCTCCATGTCTTCCTCCATGGGTTTTGGGGGTCGAAATTTCGACCCAAAGACATTCGCGTCAAAATCGCGAATGTCAATTTCGCGATCTCGGAAAAAAAAAAAAAATCGGTCAGCCCGAAAAAATTTATGGGTTGCGTCCTGCGTCTGGACGCGCATCCTGCGTCTTTGCGTCCGGACGCTGCGTCAGGACGCCCCCTGCGTCTTTTGCCACTTAGCTCCTACGTATAGTGCGTGTTGTTTTCTCCCCTCTCCTTTCTCTGATCTCTCACACACTTCTCATCTGAATTCTGATTTAGCCCGTGCCTGCCTGCAAGCCTTCCTGCCAGACCTCCTCACAGGTGCGGGCCTCTAGTCTCTTTAAGAGGCTCCTCCAAACTCGCCTCTTTTAGAGGCTCCTCCAAACTCGCCTCTTTTAGAGGCTCCTTGTGGATCGTACACGTTTCCCCCTCCACCCCCCCCTCCCCCCCACCCCACCTTCTGCTTTGACTGCTCTCTCCCACACTTCTCACCTCCTCTCTCACCTTCCCCTCCTCCCCTACCCCTCCTCTAGTCCTTTTTTTTCTGTCGACTCAACCAATGCTTTCCACTTCCTTCCCGCACTCCTCCTCCCTTCCCTCTTCACCCCCCTCCAGGCGGCTCCCCAGAGCCTTCCGCCCTCACATTCCCCTTCGCCCTCTCCGGCCCCACACCTGCACGGCTTTACACTTTTTTTTTAGTCGACTCAAAAACCACTGCTTCTCTGTACCCCCTTCACTACATTTCTCTCCCCCCACTTCCCAATGCTTCCCATCTCTCCAGGCGGGTCCCCAGAGCCCTCCGCTCTCGCATTCCCCTTCGCCCTGTCCGGCCCAACACCTCCTCGAGTCCGCCTGCCTGCTCTCCTCGACTCCCTCTCTAACCGCCTCTCCTGCCGCCAACTGAATCTGCCACGCTCCCTCACGCTCCCTGCTCTGGTGAGTCGCTCCTTCGTCCCTGCATGCATGCCCCTTTGCTCATCCCTCGCCGCTTCTCTCCTCCACTCCCTCTCCAGCCGCCTCTCCTGCTGCCACCTCAACCTCCCCCGCTCCCTCACACTCCCCTCTCTGGTGAGCCTTCTTCTGCTTCTGCATACACCCCCTCCTCCTCCCCTCCCCACTTTCCACCCTCCACCCCGCCCCACTCACCTTTCTCCCGAGTCTGCCTCCTCTCCTTCTCTCCCTCCCTCACCCTCCCCTCCATCGCTCTCTCGCCCACTCCCTTCTATCGCTCCTAATCTCTTTCCCCATCTCCCCCCTCTACCCCCCTCCCACCTGTCATCACCTGCGGCACCTTGGTCTATCCTCTCGCTTACACCCTCTCTCTCCCTGCTCCCGCTCTGCTTCTCTTCACCCCGCCTCGCCCCTCTCCTCTCTCCGCCCTGCCTCCTCCCACCAATCACTCACTCACCCATCGCCTGGAAGACGCCATTCAAGGCAAGCCTCTGCTACCCCGTTATCCGTCCTTTCCTACCCCTCTCTCTGCTCATGCTCTGCTTCTCCATCCCCCTTCCCTTTCTTCCCTTCTCTTTCCCTCCCATCACCAGTCACTCGCCCATCGCCTGGCAGACGCCTTCCAAGGCGGAGCACTGCTGCTCTGCCAAGACCTCTTTTCTCAATCACCCCCAGCGCTGCTCCTCCCTTCTCTCGCCCATCCCTCCCCCGCCTCCCCCTCCCACCAGTCACTCACCCATCGCCTGGCAGACGCCTAAGGCAAGCCTCTGCTACCCCGTTATCCGTCCTTTCCTAACCCCCTCTCTGCTCATGCTCTGCTTCACCATCCCCCTTCCCTTTCTTCCCTTCTCTTTCCCTCCCATCACCAGTCACTCGCCCATCGCCTAGCAGACGCCTTTCAAGGAGGGGCGCTGCTGCTCTGCCACAACCTGCTGCTCGCCTCCACCCTCCCCGGTAAGACTCATGCCCTCTCCCTGGTAGTAACCACTCAGGCCTTGCTCTTCTTCTCTGCTGCATTTTGAGTCAAAACCAGATCCTCACGTCACAAGCCCCAAGCCACAAGCCTTGTTCTGCTGCTCTGCCACAACCTGCTGCTCTGCCACAACCTGCTGCTCTGCCACAACCTGCTGCTCTGCCACAACCTGCTGCTCTGCCACAACCCTCTGCTCTGCCACAACCTGCTGCTCTGCCACAACCTGCTGCTCTGCCACAACCTGCTGCTCTGCCACAACCTGCTGCTCTGCCACAACCCTCTGCTCTGCCACAACCTGCTGCTCTGCCACAACCCTCTGCTCTGCCACAACCTGCTGCTCTGCCACAACCTGCTGCTCTGCCACAACCTGCTGCTCTGCCACAACCCTCTGCTCTGCCACAACCTGCTGCTCTGCCACAACCTGCTGCTCTGCCACAACCTGCTGCTCTGCCACAACCTGCTGCTCTGCCACAACCCTCTGCTCTGCCACAACCTGCTGCTCTGCCACAACCCTCTGCTCTGCCACAACCTGCTGCTCTGCCACAACCCTCTGCTCTGCCACAACCTGCTGCTCTGCCACAACCCTCTGCTCTGCCACAACCTGCTGCTCTGCCACAACCTGCTGCTCTGCCACAACCTGCTGCTCTGCCACAACCCTCTGCTCTGCCACAACCTGCTGCTCTGCCACAACCTGCTGCTCTGCCACAACCTGCTGCTCTGCCACAACCTGCTGCTCTGCCACAACCCTCTGCTCTGCCACAACCTGCTGCTCTGCCACAACCCTCTGCTCTGCCACAACCTGCTGCTCTGCCACAACCCTCTGCTCTGCCACAACCTGCTGCTCTGCCACAACCTGCTGCTCTGCCACAACCCTCTGCTCTGCCACAACCTGCTGCTCTGCCACAACCTGCTGCTCTGCCACAACCTGCTGCTCTGCCACAACCCTCTGCTCTGCCACAACCTGCTGCTCTGCCACAACCCTCTGCTCTGCCACAACCTGCTGCTCTGCCACAACCTGCTGCTCTGCCACAACCTGCTGCTCTGCCACAACCTGCTGCTCTGCCACAACCTGCTGCTCTGCCACAACCCTCTGCTCTGCCACAACCTGCTGCTCTGCCACAACCTGCTGCTCTGCCACAACCTGCTGCTCTGCCACAACCTGCTGCTCTGCCACAACCTGCTGCTCTGCCACAACCTGCTGCTCTGCCACAACCTGCTGCTCTGCCACAACCTGCTGCTCTGCCACAACCCTCTGCTCTGCCACAACCTGCTGCTCTGCCACAACCCTCTGCTCTGCCACAACCTGCTGCTCTGCCACAACCCTCTGCTCTGCCACAACCTGCTGCTCTGCCACAACCCTCTGCTCTGCCACAACCTGCTGCTCGCCTCCACCCTCTCCCTGGTAACCACTCATGCCCCCCTGCTTCCCTTCCTTAGCTTGCACAGTCTGCCGCTGCTTCTCGTTTTTCTTTCCCTGCTCTTTCTCACTTCCTTTGATCTTCAAAGTTTATATTTTCTTGCTTCTCACTTTCTGCCTCCCCTCACCTCTCCCCCTCTAATCCCTCTCCTTCCCCTCTCCTCCGCATGCCTCCGCCTTCTCCTCTCCTCCCTCTCCCCGCCAATTTTGGGGTGCCTCAACAAAAGCAATCCCCCTTTCTACTCCCCCCCTTCCTCCCCTCTCCCCACTCCCTTCCTCAGGCTGACACTGCAGCACTACACTCCTACGCATGCCTGCGCCTTCTCCCTTCCTCCCTATCCCCCTCCTCCTCCTCCTCTTCCATCCTTCGCTCCCTCTCCCCCTTCCGCTCCCCTTTCACCTCCTCCTCCTCCGCCTCCTCCTCCCCCTCCTCTCACCGGCCCTCCTCCCCCTCCCCTCGTCGCACCTCCTCCTCTTTCCTCAGCCCCTCACTCACTCCCTCACTCACTCCCTCACTCGCTCCCACCCTACCTCGCTCCTCCTCCACTCCCTCACTCGCCCATCTCTCCCCTTTCGGCCACACTCCCCCTCTCTCCCCCTCTGCTTGCCCCAACCCCAACCAGCCATTCCCCCCTTCCCCCTCCGCCTCCACCCCCCCCACCCACTCCTCCCCTTTCCCCCTCCCCTACTCCTCCCCTCCCCTCCCCCTTCGCCCGTCATCCTGGGCCAAATCCACGTCAGGCCACTCCCTTTCCACGTCAGCATGGGGATTAGATCCTCAAACCAGCACCCCTCTCCCCCCTCTTGTCTATTTACGGTCTGTGGGAGTAGAGGTGGGGGGAGGAGGCGCGGGGGGAGGGGTTGGGGGAGGAGGTGCGGGGGGAGGGGAACGGGGAGAGAAAGGAGCGAAGGAAAAGGCTGGTGGAAAGGGGAAGGGTGGAGAGGAAGGGGGAGGGGAAGGAGGAGCAGGAGGGGCGCCAAAATTAATGGGAGTGCTGAGAGTGTTTTTTGTCAAAGACCTCATAGCCCTGGTGGTGGAACCACTAGCAGCAGCAACAACAAGAGAGGGGCGAAGGAGGAACGATGAAGCTGGTCAAGCGAGTCTGCACCCCGAGGTGAGTTGAGTGAATTGCCCTGTCTGCGTGTGTTGGGAGTGGTGGGAGTGGTGGGAGTGCTGCGAGTATTTTTTTGTCAAGGACCTTATAGCCCTGGTGGTGGAACCACTACTCCAACAATCACGGCAGCAGCAGAGGAGGGATGAAGGGCAAATGGGCCGACACGACACAACACCTCGAGGTGAGTTGAAGGTGTTGTTGCCTTGCCTCCTCTGCGAGGTGAGATGAGATGCAGGGCAAATGGGCCACTGTCTCCCCCCCATGCCCCATCAGCTGCTGAGGGAGATGGAAGCACCGGAGGCAGCACTTCAGGCTGTTGTGCTCTTGCGGATTCTCATTTTCACTGTCTCTTCCCATCCCATCCCCCATCAGCTGCTGAGGGAGATGGAAGCACCGGAGGCAGCACTTCAGGCTGTTGTGCTCTTGCGGATTCTCATTTTCACTGTCTCTTCCCATCCCATCCCCCATCAGCTGCTGAGGGAGATGGAAGCACCGGAGGCAGCACTTCAGGCTGTTGTGCTCTTGCGGATTCTCATTTTCACTGTTTCTTCCCATCCCATCCCCCATCAGCTGCTGAGGGAGATGGAAGCACCGGAGGCAGCACTTCAGGCTGTTGTGCTCTTGCGGATTCTCATTTTCACTGTCTCTTCCCATCCCATCCCCCATCAGCTGCTGAGGGAGATGGAAGCACCGGAGGCAGCACTTCAGGCTGTTGTGCTCTTGCGGATTCTCATTTTCACTGTCTCTTCCCATCCCATCCCCCATCAGCTGCTGAGGGAGATGGAAGCACCGGAGGCAGCACTTCAGGCTGTTGTGCTCTTGCGGATTCTCATTTTCACTGTCTCTTCCCATCCCATCCCCCATCAGCTGCTGAGGGAGATGGAAGCACCGGAGGCAGCACTTCAGGCTGTTGTGCTCTTGCGGATTCTCATTTTCACTGTCTCTTCCCATCTCATCCCCCATCAGCTGCTGAGGGAGATGGAAGCACTGGAGGCGTCGCTTCAGCGGCACCACATCAACCCGCAAGCTGTCCACATACAGGGCTGTCGCTACCTCTGCACCGACCCGCTGCTCCTCCCCTCTTCTCCCCCATACCTCCCCATGCCTCCCATGAATCCCCCCTCTCCCCCATCAGCTGCTGAGGGAGATGGAAGCACTGGAGGCGTCGCTACAACGGCACCACATCAACCCGCAAGCAGCCCACATTCAGGGCTGCCGCTACCTCTGCACCGACCCGCTTCTCCAGTCCTTCTCTGCCTCCCCACCCTGCAAAGTTACCACCCTCGCCAAGGTTGGTTCTTACCCTATCAAAGGTTTGTTGCTAACCTTGTTAGTGTTAGCCCTCAATCTCACCTTTTGTACTTGTACTTTTTATACCCTAGTTTAGTGTAGTTTGCACTTCGTGTTTGGTTGGGTGTACACACGATGAGACACGAGGCGGACAGGCAGAGAGGCGGCGGGTTGACGACTCTCAATGGTGTGCTCTCTCTCTTTTCTCTCCCTCCCCCAGGACTCCCTTGCAGTTCTGAACCAGATGAGACACGAGGCGGACAGGCAGCAGCAGAGGAGGGAGATGCTGAGAGTGCAGGGGGGAGGGAGGAAGAGAAGAGATGGGCTCACCAGGAGGGCGGGAAGAGGAGAGAAAGGTATGGTTGGGAAGAGAGAGAAAGGTATGGGAGGCATTTGAGACACGAGGCGGACAGGCAGCAGCAGAGGAGGGAGATGCTGAGGGAGCAGAGGGGAGGGAGGAAGAGAAGAGATGCAGACGCGCACAATGGGAGGGCGGGACGAGGAGAGAAAGGTATGGGTGGATGGGTTCTCTGGCAATGCTGAACTGAATGAGACAGGAGGTGGACAGGCAGCATCGGAGGAGGGAGATGCTGAGGGGGCAGGGGGGAGGAAGGAAGCGAAGAGATGCAGTGACAGGGAGGGCGGGAAGTGATGCCTGCTCTCCTGCTCTTCCTTCTGACTGTTTGCCTGCTCTTCTCTCTGACTGCACCCCTGCTTCCCACTAACCACGCTTCTGTGCCCGGTGCAGGCTGGAAGGAACAACATCCGGCGAGCACACTAGGGGGGGATTCAGAGATGGAGAGTTCCCCCAAGGGCGGAGAGGGGGATCGTGGAAGGAGAGAGGCGGAGGGAGCAGCGGGTGAGGGAGGCGAGGGGGAGCAAGGTGTAGCTGTTGTTGGGGAGAGGAAAGGGATAAGTCCAGAGAAGGGAGGAGAGGGTGGGGTGAAAGAGGCAGGGGAGGAGTGGCTTGGGGAGGGGGGTGAGGAGGAGAGTGAGGAGGAGAGTGAGGAGGTGGCATCGAAGGTTGGGAGGAACGCGTGGGTGGTGGAGAGAAGGAGCGGAGGGCGGCAACTGGTGGTGGCAGTGGAGAGAGGATGCGATTCGCTGCTGGGAGCAGAAGAACTTGTGGATAGACTGAATGCCCAGTGAGTGGATTGGGAGGCTCTATAGTGGGAGAGTTTTGAGGCCTCAAAAAGGGGAGAGAGGGTGTGACTCGTTGCTGGGAGCAGAAGAAGTCGTGGATCGACTAAATTCCCAGTGAGTGTTCTCTGAGTCGCCTCAACCTCTTTTTAGGCGCCTCAGAAGTCCTCTCTTGTTTTGCGGTTTTGAGGCACCTCAATAGTGGTGGGCGGCAGCTGGTGGTGGCGGTGGTGGATAGAGGGTGTGACTTTCTGCTGGAAGCAGAAGAACTCGTGAGGTGCCTCAAGAGTGGTGGGCGGCAACTGGTGGTGGTGGTGGTGGAGAGAGGGCGGGACTCCCTGCTGGGAGCAGAAGAACTCGTGGATGTGCGTGCGTGCATGTTTCTTTTGATGGAGTTCCCCTAATGCGTTTCTCTCTTCCTCTGCCGCAATTGCTCGTTTCAGGCACTTTGGGGGCGTGTTCCCATCTCACTAAGGGGCATGAGTGGGGGCAGGAGTGGGGGCTACCTTCACACAGCAACTGTCGGGGATGGTGTCAGCCACTTTGGGGGCGTGTTCCCATCTCACTAAGGGGCATGAGTGGGGGCAGGAGTGGGGGCTACCTTCACACAGCAACTGTCGGGGATGGTGTCAGCAACTGTCGTGTCGCCCTTGATGACTTTGTTAGGGCCCTTCCATTTCCTCACTCCCGGGCCCCACGGGTTCCATGCATTGCGACCGCCAACGTAAATCGTTTTCGCCTGCCCATTGGAAAACAAGAACAGAAAAAAAGCAGCAGCACGCAACAAAGTGAGTGTTTGTCGAGTTTCCACTAGTACTGCAGAGATAAGGGGGAGAAGGTGGGGGGTTGGAAAAGAGGGAGGGGAGGGGGTTGTTAAGGGCGTGAGGCCTTATAACGGAAGCAGTCCGGGGACTAGTCTCCAAAACGCGACAACACCAGGGAGGACGCGACAAAACACCAGGGAGAAATTAGGGTTCCTAGTTTCCCAAACACTAGGAAGCAACAACTAGGAAGCAGGCTCAAATGTGCAAACTCAAACTCATGCGCAAATAAAGATGGGCTGGAGAGAGCCACCCAAGCACACTACCCGGGAATATAGATTTTTATTTTTTTAAGGGGATGAGGCAGAAGAGAGCGCTAACCTGTGCGAGCGAGAAGCCTGGTTGGATGGGGGAGAAAGGAGGGCGATAGGCTGAGGTGATAGGGGAGGGGATAGGCGGAAAGGAGGCCCATAGGCGAGGGGGAAACGGGAAGGGGGCAGAAGAGAGCGCTAACCTCTGCCAGCGAGAAGCCTGGTTTGCCGACACAGACACAGGCAGCGCCGAATCGGTTGGAGGCAGCGCCGAATCGGTTGGAGGCAGCGCCGAATCGGTTGGAGGCAGCGCCGAACAACGCGAGCGCGGGAGAGAGAGGTGCGGGTGACACGGTCGATAGCGGCGACGCGGCCATGGAGATGCGGAATGGTCACGGGAGGGGGGGGGGGAAGGGGGGGAGCAGAAGAGAGAGCGTTCATGAGTGGGAGCGGAAGCGCGGGAGCGAGAGGTGCGGGTGACACGGTAAATAGTGGCGACGCGGCCATGGCGATGCGGAGAAGCGCCCCGACGCGACACGACACGTGAGAGAAACGAACCGACGCGATATGCGATGAGGATCACGAGGATATGAGGATTGGTGGGGAGGGAGAGGAACGGTCGTGGGAGGGAGTTGGGGGGAGGTGGGGGGGCGGGGGGAAGGGAAGGGGGGAGGGGGGAGAAGAAGGCATTGGCGGGGAGGAGGGAGGGGGAAGTGGGAGAAGCGGAAGGAAGAGAGGGTTTATGAGTGGGAGCGGCAGAGCGGGGGAGAGGGGAGAAGGTGGAAGGTCAGCTGGAAGCAACGATGTCGGTGCCTCAAAAACAGGTGCGAAGAAATAGATGCGACAGGACAGGTGGGGGCACGACAAAGGGGGCACGACAAGAGCAGCAGAACCGTGGGGTCAGAGAAGGCTTAGCAGAACACAACGGGACGAACAAGGGGGGACGAATGAGGGGCGCAGAACAAGGTGGGAAAAGACAAGAGGGGAGGGGGAGGGGGGGGGGGGAGGGGAGGAGTGGGGGGGAAAACAACGGCCCTAGGACAATGTGGGAAGCACAAGGGATGCCGAACGAGGGGGCAAGGGGAAGGGAGGGCGGGGGGAAGAGATGAGGAGAATAAGGGGGGTGTAACGAACAGAGCAGAACAAGGGCGCGCGACGAGTGATTAGTGACAGCTCCATCACATGACGTGTTCTTCACTCACCGAAACGATATAACATACGCCTCCCATACGACCCCGTTTTCCAGTGACGCAAACGCAAACGCAACGCAGACTCAAACGCAAACGCAAACGCAAACGCAAACGCAGACGCAGACGCAGACGCAAACGCAGACGCAGACGCAGACGCATACGCAAACAATGGGATAACAGGAGGCGGAAACGGGAAGTAGGGCCGTTTTCATATTTTCTCATGAGGCGCCTCACACGTGCTCTTACGCACTTGAGAGCAGAGCGAGAAGCGATATGCTTGCTAGCAACAGCACGAGCCGCGTGGACATTGTTGTAAGGTGTCGAGCCACAGCCGTCGCGGCAACGTTGCGAATGAGCGGGAGGCAGGACTACACTGGAGATTGAAAGAAACGACGAAACTCAAAACTAGAAACCAAACCCTAGCGCTAGAAGGTGGTGTCGGTCGTTGCAAAAGCGTAAGATTGCTAACGAGTACTAACAAAAATCACACTCTAGTCTCATGCTTTTGTGGCGGGAATAAGGAAAGGTGGGTGAAAATGGTGAGCTGGTGCTGCTGTGTAGTTCGAGTTTGGGTGGTTCGGTGAGGTGGTAGGAGTGTACGCTGTGCAAACAAACAAACTCCCAAGGGAGAGAGGGATGCCTTGCAGAAAGCGAGTCTGCTACACCGCGAATCGCGATCAACCGAAACCACCACTACAGTGCCACCGAACCGAACACCGCCACCAAACAGCCCTCACAGACGTGATGCGGTGCGACTACAGTCACCAACACCCAGCATCAACGACTTTCCACCTTGGGCTGTTTTTTAGACAATCACGAACTTTCCATTTGTTTCCATAAGCTGCTTATTTAACTTTTTTAATAATCAAAGATAGCTTATTAGATGCTCAACTCCAGTTTGCCCGTTAAGGAGAGAACTTTCGGCATATTTTGAAGGTACCCAGCCCAGACACCCCGCAGTTCATTTCGTGCACAACCCAACCACCTGCTTCTCCGAACCAAACCTGGAGGTGAGGTGAACAAGACATCAACCGTGCCGCGCTAGCGGCCAGGCTTTTCAGCAAAATTCCGTCCACGTGTACAGTGCATGAAACCAAACATGCTAAACGTGGGCTGTACATCAGGCTCGGAGGAGCCGGCTTTCTTACTGGATGGAAAATGGCGACGCGACACTTTGGACGCTGTTGTCTTTTGTGCCACAGTCCAACTACTGCAGCGCCCCCCGCCTCGCCGCGCGCACGTTGCCGGTTTGGTGGGTGGGTTTTCGGTGGCGGTGTGGCACGTCGGCACGGCATCCCCTAGCCTTTCGGTTTTTGGGGCCTTATCTCCATTGGCTGAAATGGGTTTGGCTCTGTGTGTGGAGCACCTGTTGTACTCCGACCCAGCTTGCGGAAGTTCCTTGTTTTAGCTAAGCAAAATCAACTTCGAACACGGTTGTGAGGTAAAGGCTAAGTACGTCTTACACCAACTTTCACTACCCTGCCCGTTCCGCCCCTATCACTTTCTTCCGCGACCCCGAACCCGAACTCAACCGATCAACCAACCCCGCTAAAAGCACAGCCACTCCTACCAACAACCAACCCACTCCACCCCAATTTCATGCTTCAACAAGCTTCACTTACAGAGCACAAGGAACACAGTTTTGCCTCGACCTCCGGCATTCCTTCCTCCATTTCGTTTTCGTGCCTCGCGCCATTTTACAGTATCCCGATTGAGTGCCTCCTTCGCTCTCTCCTCAGCATTGATCGGCCGATAGTTGAAAAATCCCTTGGTTGCGCGCCTCCAGCCATGGCCACGCGCCGCGTTTCTTCGGCCTTACTAGCAACCGCTTGCGTCCTCCTGCTCTCAAGTGCGCGCCTCTCCTTGCCTCCTGTCTTGCTTATGTTCTGTCTTTTATTCTCCTCGCGGCAGCTTTCGTCCCAGCTTTAGCACGTCTCGATATGTTTATGTAGCGGCGCCGGTGCTAGCGGCGCCATTGCTCAACCCCCACGGCTCTTCCATCATATACAATCTTCACCCTATTTAATTTTTGTCTTCCTTGCCTGTACGTTCTTTCTCCCCATCTTATTTCCCCTGTCTCGAATTGCCCGTCGTTGTCGCCGTTCGCCGTTTGCCCGTCGCCCGTCGCCCGCCGCCCGCCGCCCGTCGCGTTCCCGTCGCAACCTCGCGTTCGCACTCGGTCGCGGGTCTCCCGTCTCGTGTTGTGCTGCTCTATCTCGCCTCGTCGCCAGCCGTCGCACAAGTTCAGGTGACAACAACAATCACACCTTTCACATTGCCGTTTTTTCTTTCGTTCTTTTCGTTCGCCTCTTGGACAGAGCGAGACTCAGACAGCAGCAACCGCTCTGCCCACCTGCCGCTTTTGTTTCGTTTCTGAGACGTCTCAATAAACGTCCCCTCCTCCTTTTTAGTCAAGATTGAATGACCGCTTGTGCAATCGTGGCCGTGCGACTTTAGCCGTGCGATCCTGACCGTCTGATCCATGTCGCACCACCACAAGCCCCACGGCTTGCTGATTAAAGAAGAGCGTACGGGACAGGGAAATGTCCGTAGGGCACGGGCCAATGCTCATACGTACGTACGGACGGACGGACGGACGGACGTAGGATGGGCACGGGCTAGTATTCGCGGACGAGTGTATGCGCGGAGGTTTGTTGCTCGCTGAGAACATGTCAGAAGACCGAGGGCGCTTGACGAGTGTATGCGCGCAGGTGGGAGGGAGGACGAGAAAGGTGTATACCTTTATCATCCCATTCCCCCCCCACCCCCCGCCCCCCACCCCTCCTCCCCCTATTATTTATCCGCGCGCTGACAGGCGAAGACAATCCTCGTGGGCGGGCCTTACACGTTCTCGCCGTTAGTCTCATATTTGTCTTACCCACCTCCTTCTCTTGCCCGTGTTTCCTCCTCTCGCCCCCATTCATGCGCGCGATGCCAGGCGAAGAAGATTCAAGTGGGCGGGCCTTACAGGTTGTCGCCGTGGGGCCCGCTGACGATTAAGTGGAAGTGCCCGCCGATTGAAGTGGGCGACAAGCTGGGTGAGTGCGGTGCAGAGAGGTTAAGTACGGTGCGGAGAGGCTGGGTGTGGTGCAGAGAGGCTGGGTGCGGTGCAGAGAGGCCGGGTTCGGTGCAGAGAGGCTGAGTGCGGTGCAGAGAGGCTGAGTGCGGTGCAGAGAGGCTGAGTGCGGTGCAGAGAGGCTGAGTGTGGTGCAGACAGGCTGAGTGCGGTGCAGAGAGGCTGAGTGCGGTGCAGAGAGGCGGTGCAGAGATGCTGAGTGCGGTGCAGAGAGGCTGGGTGTGGTGCAGAGAGCTGCGTGTGGTGCAGAGAGGCTGAGTGCGGTGCAGGGAGGCTGAGTGCAGTGCAGAGAGGCTGCGTGTGGTGCCGCCGCCGCTGCCGCTGCTGCTGCTGCTCTTACCCTCTTCATTGATTGGCTACAGACGATTTCTGAGGCACCTTGAAAATTCTGTGGTACCCTCTGCATAGATCAATTGAGCTTCCCCAGCCCGCTGCTTCCCTCCACACTCTCCCCCCCTTTTCACCACTCCCCCTCTGCACCCTTGCCCCTCCCCCTCTGCACCCCTCTGCACAATGTCTCATCAGGATTCTGTCGCACTGCACTGCATCGCATGTAAACCCATTCAACCGCACTCAAACTCACTGAATCATGCGACTCTGATAAGAGGTGTGTCTGAGAAGAGGGAGGCATCAGAACTGACTCAAAAGTTCCCCTATCCCCCCCCCCCCCCCCCCCCCCCCCTCCCCTCCTTCCCCCTCCCCCCTCCCCTCCTTCCCCCTCCCCCCTCCCCTCCTTCCCCTCCCCCCCTCCACCCTCCCCCTTTCCCCCTCCTCCCCACGCCCACCTGATTCGCTGCCGTTGTTGCAGTTTTTAAATGGACACAGCGTTCTGATATCCATCAGTTTATCACTCAGTACACGGATCCAGATTCTTTCAGCCAACCCAAGTACTGGGCCCAGTGCAAGACCAGCAAGGCCGCTAAGACTCTCGCGAAAGCGTCGAAATCGGGAAGCTACACCTACACTGTTTCAAAAGACGATCATTTCAATCTCATGTTCGCGAGCGGCGTGGGGAACATGTGCAGGCGGGGGCAACGCTTTCAGTCGCCTGTTCCTAAGTGTACTACGTCTAGTGGGTGTATTGGTCTTTGAGTTAAATGCAACATGTTTTCATGGCAAGTTGGTGTAGAAACCCTAACTAGATGGTGTGGTAGGATATCTGATTGCAACTCATTTCCTTTCGGCTGTGCAGCTATGTTTGTACTGTCTCGGTTTTTTATCTCCTATATTAATTTTGCATTTGAATATTAGTGTAGGATTTGAAATTGCAAATGGATGGCATAATGAGCAACTGCTATTCTTATACGTTGGGTACAACTTCTATGTGTGATATTCCAGAATTCTGCCCCTCTTCATATAACCTCACTAAACAGTTGTCTGTAAAGCTGGTGCACCTGGTTTGGACTAGTGTAGTCATTTATGACTAAAGGCACCAAAGCCTGTAAGGGAACGAATGTAGCGTGTGGGGCCCTTGTGATGCACTTTCGAGCTGCCCCGTTATTGGAACAAAACGGTACGGTAACAAATCTATTTGTACCGCAAATCACCCAACAGGCTGCTCGCGAATCCTCCCAAGCTCATTCGTCGTCTGTCGCGGGGCGCGGAGGGCTTGCCGTGCGCCTCGACTCCTTTCTCCGCGCGCTCTTCCGCTTTCGGCTGCGCGCGACGGCGCCAGGAGCCTCCCCGCGACTTGCTTGTTTCTTCTTTATCGCTCGGGCCATTTTGGGTTGGCTCACGCGCGGACTGCGGGGCGGTTGGCGCAGTGTGCGCGCAAGCAGCGGAAAACGGAGGTTTACCAGGCGCGGATGCAGCGGAAACGGGCGCAAGTTGGTCGAAGGGACCCGCGGCATTGGCCCAGGGGGAGCGGAGCCGGGCGGAAGCTTCGGGGCTGGAGGGGGAGGCGGACGAGGCGGAAGCTGGGGACGATGAGCGGGAGGAGCCTGTTTCGAAGGATGAGTCGCAGAGAGGGGAGGTGGTGGCGATAGAGTTGGAGGACGAGAAGACGGACGGTACGATAAACGACGACGATGACGTGGAGCGAGTGCAGCCGTTGGATGAGGGTTCGGTAGTCGCACGAGAAGGCAGCGACGGATCTGCGAGCCAATTGCATTCGTCGGATGCCGAATTGAGATCCCTCTGCGACAGCCGTTGACTTCGCAGACTCGATTGACTTCGCAAATCGGGTTGACTCCGATGACTGAGCTGACCGGCAGGCCAATGAACCCCGCTCAGCTCGGCGCGCTCTGCGGCGCAGCGATCCTCGCGCGCCTGCCCGTACCGCTGCTCCCGAGTCGTATGAAACGATCGCCGCCCCGCAGTAGCTGCGCGCCGGGTCTCGCCGCCGCCACGAAGCGAATCGTACACATCGCGGGGCAGCGCCTCAGCGCAAGCGGCGTCGGGGGCGCCGCGGGGGGCACCAGGCGCGCGGAAGGAGCCGCTGCGGCGGCGGGAAAGGGGGCGGGCGGGGCTTCCGGTGCCGCTGGCACTGGGGGTGTAGAAAATCATGTCTTCCCGCCACGACGCGCAGCGCGCCGATCCTGATGACGCCGACGGCACGTCGACGGACCTCCGGCGATACGCGCCGTCGACTCTCGGAGGCGCGAAAGGTTCGTACGCCCTCCGCCCGTCACCACTGCTACCGCTGCCGCAGCCGCCGCCGCTGCTGCTGCTGTTTCTGTTCTGCGCGCGCAATCTTTCGCACGCCGCATGCTGCTTCGCGCCTGATGATGATAGCGTCCGTGCCAAACCGGTATTCCTCTTAGTATAGGGTGCGTATTCCGGCAACTCAGAACTCGAACTGGTGTCTCCCTTAGTATACGCAGCGTATTTCTCGATAGTGGACTCCTCGGCACACTCCATTGTTGATTCCATCATTTCGACGAAGATGCGACACTTGACGGCGCTGAGCTGCCGCTGCGACTCGAGCAGGGCCAGTTTGCCCTCCAGCGCCGCCATTTCCACGTCAGCGAGTACACGGCTGCAACTTGGCCGGCGTTCTAGAGCTGGCATGGCGGCGGGATTCGCGCCGGAATTAGTGCATGAGAGTGAAATGTCGGGACATGCGGCGGATGTTGAGAAGTCAGAGAATGCGGACTGCGCGCCCGAAATTGATGGTTGTGCGCCGGGATATGCGGGTTGGATACGGCTATCGCTGGCGGGTCTGGCTTTGTGGGATTCTGAGGCACCATGAAACGTCGAAGACATGGCTGCGATTGCACCTTACCACTTTTAGCGGGTCCGCACTCGTTTAGCGGGTTACTTTCTCCCTACAGCAAGTAATTCCACTCTGAATAATACTTCGTAGAGATTGCGAACGTGTGTCTACGTTTGAACTACGGGCTTCAGGATAAGTCTTCAACAACGCGAAGGAGGCGCATCTGGAATCTCATCGCAAGTCAGTAAGCTACGATCAGTCGTGTCAGAGCAGTCAGTGGCAGCCAGCAGCAAACAATAAATGGAAGGGAGGGATGGGGGCAGGGGAATGAATGGGAGAATGGAGATTGGAGCGAGGAGGATACGGTGGGGGCGGGAGAGATTGGGTTGGGACCAAGTGAGGGAGAAAGGGGGGCAACAGGGGGGGAGTGAAAACATGGGGTTGTTGTTGCCTCGGATCTCGCTTCGCGCTCGACGAGAAAGATTTCCGCGTCGGATGTCCAGAGGTTTTCCTCGCTTCCCCTCCCGCTGCCTTTGGTGAACCAGTCAGGTGATCTCGTGAGCGTGGTGCGAATCCAAGCGCTTTCACGTCGACCGTCCGTCGCCGGAATCCCCTCACGCTGAACGTCTAGCAAGATTCTTCCCACAGCCTATCGTGTCCCAGCCAACTGCCTCAGTCGACTTTCCCTCCATTTCCATCCAGTCATTTGAGTTCGTTGGCATTCCCGCATGCTTGTTGGTGTTGATTAACTGTAAACACGTGATACCCTCACCCCCCCTGTGACTGGCTCGACACCCAGATAGTTCTGTATTTTGTCAGTGTATGCTTTCACTGCCCACACTGACCGTAGGGAGAACAGCCTGCATTTATTTCCACTAGGGAGTCGCTCATTTCTCGTACTCACCACTTCGAGTTCAAAACCCTTAAGTTTCATAAAATATGCTGGGCTTTTAGTCCATTCATGAGGATCTTAAGTAGGCGACCTGATGTATATTTGTGCACTTCAGTTGCTGGATGGTAGTGCGGTAGCCCAAGCAAAGAAACTCGTTGCTGCCCAAGCTATCTAGTCACATAAATAGTTTTTTTACCAAAACGGTCTATCATAATGACAAAACTGTTTGCACGTGTTGGGCCCCTCGACAGCCCTTTTGGACCTAAATCGAAACGCACGGGCAGCTCCAAGGCCGCTCATTTGATGTAAGCAGAATCAAAAACAGGCTAAACTGAACAGCGTTCCCATCGGATTGGGAGGAGCCACGTAGCAGCGACTTCTCCCGGCCTTTGCTCCATCATAAGTTCCTGGGAGCAGCCCTGAATCCGAGCGCCTCGGCTTCCGTCCGCATATTTGCCTAAATCGCATCATTGTCCCTCCACATTTTGTACAGCGTGCGTCTGAAGCTTCTGCAATGACATGGGACGAGCAACTACGTCCAGTAATTAATCTGACACGTGTGTTCCGCCGCTTCCAGACCATTCGACCTACAAGTTGTTGATTGCGTTTAGGGCGTGTCTGAAGTGCAAACGTCGAGTTTCGTCAAATTTCGTCGACGAAACTCATCCGTGGGACCCACGCGTGTTGGTGTCTGAAGTGCAGCCTGACATCCCTCGACGAAACTCGACGTTCGTGCACATGTCGAGGGATGTCGAACAGTGATACCGGGCAGCTGTTTGAGTCACTGTAGTCAGTGAGTGTTTCAAAAACAATTCTTCGACACGCCATGTCTGCATAGCTGTGGCAAACACACGTGAATAAGAACTAAGACGAGAGCGACACGTGCTAGAGAAATTTCGCTGGCAATGTGACAGTAGAATATCCGGTGTTACCAGCAACAATCTATGCTAAGCGAAATTCGCGAGATTGCAAACAATTGAGTTACATGAATGATTCTGTTAATTCCACGTCGAATTTTCATGGGCAACTTATAACAGTGTTCCTATGGCACGTGTGGGTTATTTTGTCGTGTGGGTGTCTGAAGTGAACACAGCTGAAAACGGATGTCGAGTTTCGTCAAGGAACGTCGACGAAAGTTTCGTCGGCAAACGTCGAAATTCACTTCAGACACGCCCTTACACGTAGGAGTTTAATGGGCCACTTGTTCATAGAAAGAATAGGGTTGCCCTAAAAGTGCTAAAATATCTTCCAGATTACAACAGCCCAAGCTCACCTTTCAGTACCACTCTGTTTGCACTGCATTCGCAGCATCGTATAGTGCATTTCGATTACACGTATTTTAAAAATATGGGCTTCAGATAGGTACACGATCTTTTCATAGCATACAGTAACATTTCGAACAAACAAAACCTTTAGCGTACGAAAACGTGGAAGAAATGGTGGCTAGGAGCGACAGTTCAATGCTTTGGGACGTGGGGCACTAATTACGTTAGTCAGCGGCTGGTAACTGGTACAGGGACCCAAAAGTTCTGATAAGCATTGATTAGTTTTATGAGCATGAAAATATGCCTAATATGACACAACTGAAGTCTGTAGAATCAGCTCGTAGTGCTGTTACTCTCTTATTGATGCGTGTGTTGCTTGTGCTACTGCCATCTATTGCGCTTCTCTTGTTGCTGCTGCTTCTAATAGATAGCTTGTGTTATTTCTGCTGCTGCGTCGGCTGCTCGTGCTTCTGCTGCTGCTTTTGTTGCTCCTGCTTCTGCTCCTAGCTTGTGTTATGTCTGCTGCTGCTTCTGTTGCTCCTGCTTCTGTTGCTCCTGCTTCTGTTGCTCCTGCTTCTGTTGCTCCTGCTTCTGTTGCTCCTGCTTCTGTTGCTCCTGCTTCTGTTGCTCCTGCTTCTGTTGCTCCTGCTTCTGTTGCTCCTGCTTCTGTTGCTCCTGCTTCTGTTGCTCCTGCTTCTGTTGCTCCTGCTTCTGTTGCTCCTGCTTCTGTTGCTCCTGCTTCTGTTGCTCCTGCTTCTGTTGCAGTTGTTGCTCTTCTCCCACCACTGCTGCTCCTACAGACATCCACACCCCACAAGCAGCAGCAACGCTGCACCCATTTCTATTTCTGCTGCTACTAATGCTTCTGCTGCTACTAATGCTTCTGCTGCTACTAATGCTTCTGCTGCTACTAATGCTTCTGCTGCTACTAATGCTTCTGCTGCTACTAATGCTTCTGCTGCTATTAATGCTTCTGCTGCTACTAATGCTTCTGCTGCTACTCCTGTTGTTGCTGCTTCTGATTCCGCTGCTTCTCCACACATCAACCCCCACAAGCAGCAGAAACGCTGCACCTCTGTTTCTGCTGATACCGTTGCTTCTGTCGCTTCTTCTGTTTCCACAGCTGAACCACACGTCCATCCCCCACAAGCAGGAGTGCTGCACCGCGCTCCACCGTTTTGGGTGTGTCCTATCCAGCTTGGAATCACCTCTTGGCTTCGGTTGACACCTTCTCTGCTGCCTCTCATTCCGCTCCTGCTCCACACGCCCATCCCCCACAAGCAGCAACCACGCTGTACCACACTCCACCGTTCTTGATGTGACGCTGATCCACTGCTTACTCCGCTGCTTACTCAGCAGCTACGCTGCACCTGTTTCTGTTTCTGCTGCTGCTGTTGCTACTGTTGCTTCTCCTGTTGTTGTTGCATCTGATTCCGCTGCTACTCCACACATCAACCCCCACAAGCAGCATCAACCTTGGGCCGTGGGATTACCCTGGGCCGTGGGATTACCGCCTAGCTTTTGCAGTCTTCCCTTTCTGCTGCTGCTGCTGCTTCTGCTGTTGCTGCTGTTGCTGCTCCACATATCCGCACTCTACCAGTAACGATCTTGCTGCGTTGTTGATGTGCCTGAACCGATCTGGACCCAGTAGAATTCCTCCGAACCACCTCGAAACCACCACCACCTGGAAAAACGGAAGGGGAAAAATGATATTTTTTTAGACCCTTGAAAGGTTGTGTTGTTTGTTTTGTTTTGTTCCCGTGCGTGCGTGTGTGTGTGTGTGTGTGTGTGTGTGTGTGTGTGTGTGGGGGTGAAAGTGTGTGTGTGTGAGTGTGTGTGTGTGATGTGTGTGTGTGTGTGGGTGAAAGTGTGTGTGTGTGTGTAATGTGTGTGTGTGTGTAATGTGTGTGTGTGTGGGTGAAAGTGTGTAATTCACAACCCCTAACCCACCATCCCTCTCTCACCCCCCTTACTCACCACATTAGCCGCCCCCACGATCTGCAGCAGATGCATCAGCCTGCCACCTGCTGACTCATTTAGTCAACTCAAAACTGGAAATTAGCACCACTCCTCACCATTCCTCACCACTTCTCACCACCATCCCTCACCACCCCTCGCTCACCACATTAGCCGCCCCCACAATCTGCAGCAGATGCATCAGCCTGCCACCTGCTGCTGCCCCCCCCAGGTGACTTTCAGTCAACTAAAAAACTGGAAATTTCCACCACTCCTCACCACTCCTCACCACCCCTCACCACACCTTACTACTCCTCACCACCGCCTCACCACTCCCCACCACGGTCCACCCCTCACTCACCACATTGGCCGCCCCCACAATCTGCAGCAGATGCATTAACCTGTTCCCCGCTGCTGCTTCCCCATCATCATCATTGTCTTGAATGACCTGCTGGGAGGGGTCAGAGGGAGTAAGGAGGAGCGAGGAGGAGTAAGAAGGAGTAAACAAGAGTAAGGAGGAGTACAAAGGAGTAGCAGGGAGTAAGGAGTAAGAGGGAGTAAGGAGGAGCAAGCAGCAGCCCCATTCGCCCCACCCAATTTCTCTTGGCCCCCCGTTTCTGCCTCCCCATCATCGTCATTGTCCTGAATGAGCTGCTGGGAGGGAGGAAGGAGGGGTAGGAGAGAATATGAGCAGGGGAGACACAAAGAGTGGGAGGGAGCCCTGATATCGCCCCACCCACTAGCAACCTGCCCCCCGCTGCTGCCTCCCCGTCATCGTCATTGTCCTGAATGAGCTGCTAGGAGGGGGGCACGGAGGGAGTAAGAGGGAGTAAGATGGAGTAAGAGGGAGTAAGATGGAGTAAGAGGGGGTAAGAGGGAGTAAGAAAAAGTAAGAGGGAGTAAGAAAAAGTAAGAGGGAGTAAGAAAAAGTAAGAAGCCCATTCACTGTCTTCCTGCCGCCTGCTGCTGCCTCCCCATCGTCGTCATTGCCCTGAATGAGCTGCTGGGAGGGAGGCATGGAGGGAGTAAGAGGGAGTAAGAGGGAGTAAGAGGGAGGAGGGAGTAAGAGGGAGTAAGAGGGAGTGAGAGGGAGTGAGAGGGAGTGAGAGGGAGTGAGAGGGAGTGAGAGGGCCATCATCTAAATGACCCGATAGGCCAGGCTGCAGTGTTGGTGGCTCATGAGAATCCTAAAGAATCCCTCCCCCTCCCCCTCCCTCTTCCCCCTCTCCCTCCCTCCTCTCCCTCCCCCTCCCTCCTCCCCTTCCCCCTCCCTCCCCCCAGCCCTCCCCCCCTCCTCCCCACCCCCCCCAACCCCAACGCACGGCACTCACGGTGCTGCCGTTTGCGCCAGCTGTCACGATCCGATAGGCCATGATGTTGTGGGTGGCGCCTGCTATCTTGCGATTGGCCAGAAGGACTTTCATCACTGCTGCCACGTCAGCAGGCGAGCCCACAGGTGCCAGGTGGGCCTGGAAAGTACCTGGAAGGTGCGGCCATGGGGAAATGAGGGCATGTGAGGCAGTGAACTTGATGTCTCACACTCTCACTCACTCAGTCACTCATACTCTTACTCACTCAGTCACTCACTCACTCACACTCTCACTCACTCACTCACACTCTCACTCACTCACCTCACTCACTCACTCACTCACTCACTCACTCACACTCTCACTCACTCACCTCACTCACTCACTCACTCACTCACTCACTCACTCACTCACTCACTCACTCACTCCCTCACACATTCTCAATCACTAACTTCTCTTCTCAGCAAAAGGAATGCCATCCACAATGCTCAGCACCCTCTCTGCATTAGGCATGAGCAGAATACCGAGCCGCAGTTCGGTTCGACGCGGTTCGGTTCGTTACGAACCGAACCTCGGCTTTGTTTTCTTCATTAGGTTCGCAACGGGCCGAACCGGTTTGCCGTCGAACCGGTTCGGAGGTTCGACCGGTTCGGTTATTTGTATTTATCTAGGGGCAAAGAGGGGCGGGGAAGGGTTACGAGGGGCGAGGAGGGGCGAAAATGGCTGGTTTGGTTCGGTTCGGTTCGGTTTTGCGACTATAATACCGAACCTCGAACCGGCCTGAAGTCAGGACGGTTCGAAACGAACCGGTTCGGTTCGTTAACGAACCGGTTCGGTGAATGCGCTAAAGTACCCGAACCGGTCCGGTTCGGTATTTTGCTCATGCCTACTCTGCATCCCCCACCTGTTGAGTTGAGGTGCTTCAAAAGACACTATGCATACACGATACCCAACACCCTCTCTACCAGATGACTTGTGAATCAACTCAAATAGTGCCACTCACTCACACTCAACTCACGCACTCACTCTCATTCACACACTCACTCACTCACTCACTCGCTCACTCACTTCTCTTCTCAGTGAAAGGAATGCCATGCACAATGCCAAGCGCCCTCTCTACCTCCCCTGCCCCCTCCTCCCCACTCTCCCCCACCTTCCCCTCCTCCCCTCTCCTTCCTCCTCCTCCTCCTCCCTTTGCTGCTGCTACCGACGCTGCTGCACTCGCTTCTGCCTCTTCTGCTGCCTCCCTGCCCTCCCCTCTGCTGCTCCCCTCTCTCTCCGTCTCCTGCTGCTCTGCCAACACAGGAGCGTGCTGCCACACCCACTGCTGCTCCTGCACACGTTGGGGGTTGGTTGGAGTGGTTGGGAGTGGTTCAGGGTGGTTGAAATGCTGCTCCCCCCGTGTCTCTCTGTCCCCTGCTGCTCTGCCAACACAGGAGCGTGCTGCCACACCCACTGCTGCTCCTGCACACAGTAGAGGGAGGCAGGAGTGGTTGGGAGTGGTTAGGAGTGGTTGGGATACCATTGTCCTCTCTCTCCGTCCCCTGCTGCTCTGCCAACACAGGAGCGTGCTGCCACACCCACTGCTGCTCCTGCACACACGAGAGGCAAGCAGGAGTGGTTGGGAGGGGTTGGAAGTGGTTGGGTTTGAATGGGGGCGCATGGAGAGGGGCGGGGTGCATGCTGCCACACCCACTGCTGCTCCTGCACACACGAGAGGCAAGCAGGAGTGGTTGGGAACGGTTGGAAGTGGTTGGGTTTGAATGGGGGCGCATGGAGAGGGGCGGGGTGCATGCTGCCACACCCACTGCTGCTCCTGCACACACGAGAGGCAAGCAGGAGTGATTGGGGGTGGTTGGGGGTGGTTGGGGGTGGTTGGAGATGGTGCGTGATGGGGGAAGGTGGGGGTTGTGGGGGAGACATGGGGAGGCAAGGGGAGAGGTCCGAGAGGGGAGGGAGCAGACAGGCAGGCGTGAGTGATGCCACAAACACGTGGGGTGAGTGAGGGGACCGCGATGCATGGGATGGTGGGCTGAGCAGCTGAGACTCTGTTGTTGTTGCAGGTGGTTGTTGGGAATTCTCAAGAACCGCGTTGGGAAGGGGCAGGCAGGCAGGCAGGCAGGCAGGCAGGCAGGCAGGCAGGCAGGCAGGCAGGCAGGCAGGCAGGCAGGCAGGTGTGAGTGATGCCACACGCACATGGGGACTGCGATGCGTGGGATGGTGGGGTCATCTGAGACTCTGTTGCTGCAGCAGGTGGTGGTTTTGGAAAATTCTACAAATGTCACTTCAAAGGCGCCTTAAAAGGATGGGATGGTGGGCTGAACTGTGACTATAACGCAGCCTACTTATTGTGACTGTAATGCAGCCTACCTAGTGTGACTAAAATGCAGTAACCACGTAACCTACCCACCTTTATCCATTCCACCCATTGGAAAATCACCACTTCTCCACACAAACTCTCCTCTTCCCCTCCTCTTGCCTCCCCCTCGTGTGCCCCTCCCCCTCCCCCTCCCCCTCCCCCTCCCCCTCCCCCTCCCCCTCCCCCTCCCCCTCCCCCTCCCCCTCCCCCTCCCCCGCCCATTCTATCCAGCTGGCAGCACAGCCTGCTCCTGGCGTCGTCCGGGAGCCAATCGCAGCGCGCCAGCTCAGCAACGGGGGCAGCATGGGAGGGGTAGGCGGCGGGGAGGTGGACGAGGAGAGTGAGGGATGGGGAGGGGTGGTGGTGGGTGTGACTGTCCAAAGATGTGACTGAATCGGGGTGTTGAATGGTTATCTGGTTGGGGGAGGAAAGGAGGGAGAGGGGATGGGGAGGGGGAGGGGGAGGGGGAGGGGTGGGTGTGACTGTCCGTAGATGTGACTGAATAGGGGTGTTGAATAATTATCTGTTGGTAAAAGGGAAAGAGAAGGAGGCAGGAGAGGAGGAGCATGAGGAGAGCGAGTGGGAGGGGGGAGGGGAAGGGGAGGGGTGGTGGCAGCGGTGGTGATACAGGGTGTGACTATCCATATCTGTGACTGAATCGGGATCCCTGATAGAGCCTGATGGGAGGGCCAGGGACAAGGTGGGGAGGAGAAGGAGGAGAAGGAGGGAGCGGGAGCGGGAGCGGCGGCGGTGGGTCGATCGCGCCAGATCCGCACTCGACCCCTGCTCGCCAGATCCGCGCGAATATCGTCGTTCGCGACGGGGCGTGTGGACGACACGACAGACGAGTGGCTGCGATCGACGCCGACTGGGCGAGCCGCCAGCTCGGCTCGGCTCGGCTCGGCTCGGTTCGGCTCGGCTCGGCCCGGTTCGGTTCGGTTCGGCTCATCAAGCCGGCTCGGCTCGGCTCGGCTTGGTTCGGTTCGGTTCGGCTCGGGATTGGGCTGAGCTCAAAGCGCTCGCGTGCCGAGCCGACGAGCCGAGCCGATTGGCTCGGCCACTTGCAATGCAGATGGCGAGCTGCTTTGAGACGTCTCTAACGGGAATGTTCGCGACGCGATCCGCTCACTCTGCAGCAGTGCTCGTCGCTCGAGTACGATACACGCTTTCGCGACTTTCGTGACTCTCCCGACTTTCGCGACTTTCGCGGCTTTCGTGACTTTCGTGTCCGGCTCACTCTGCAGCAGTGCTCGTCGCTCGAGTACGAGAAACATTCTGAGCCGTAGATCGCCTCGAGCGCCTCCATCTCATCCGCCTGCGCTTGCCGATTCGCCTCCTCGTCCGCCATGGCTTTAAACCCGTGATATACGAACCGTGACCTACGGCCCGTGACAGGTGCGTAAAGACGTATTAGACCTGTTATGACTATTATGGTCACGGTTGGGCGTGGAGGAATTCACGGGTGAATAGTAAGGTTTGAGAAGCAGCTACCAGGCGGCTCGAGAAAATGTTGTTTAGAGCGCGTATCGAGGTCGCCAACGTGTTTCTGTGATGCGAGAGAAACGGATGCGGTACGTTCTGTGAGGAGGAGATTATACACGCTATGAGATCCATCGCCGATTCGCGGAATTTAGGTTGTAGCATAAAGTTTCTTTTGTAGCACAACATCAAGAAAGCATCAAAGCGTACTATCACTCCACAATTTGATCAAAGGATAAATTTTATGTAGAAACCGAATAGCCTAGCTCAAGATATCTAGTAGGCTTTCCAATTTGTCATCAGATTGTAATTACATATTTGTTTAAACATAAGAATGTTTCTAACTCTGAATGACAATAAACAATATTGGAGATGCGTTAAATCAATCAGTTCACTGACAACAGAAGTCACTCCTTCCACTTCCTGTCAGTCCTCCAAACAACCCAACCCAACGCCTCCGCGCCGCCATCAAAAGTGAACCAGGGGCGGTCTGGGCTTGCACAGGTAGATCGTTCCTTCAACTCTCTCTCGTGTTAACCATCAATTGGCCCTTGAGCGGCGTGGCCATCAACCACGCGAATGCCATTCTTCGCCTCTCTATCTCGCCTGATCGCGAGGTTGACTATAGAGTCCCTTCAAATACTTGGCCCCGCCGCGTGCGGATTCCGTTAGAATCATCCGAATGCCACCCCTCGCCTCTCATTCCCGCCTGATCATTCGCCAGATCGTTCCCTTCAGAAGCATTCTCGAAGCGCGTCAAGCATCCCTCACCTCTCATTCGCAGTCCCATTTGATCGCGAGCCAGACCATTTTCCCTCCTGTTACTCCTGTTACACCTGTTACTCCTGTTACACCTGTTACTCCTGTTGCTCCTAAAGCCATGCGTTTCCTGCTCGGAGCGCAGGTGTTACATCCTGCACCAGATCAATGCTGCACCCGCGCCGCGCGTGTAGTGGTTAATCCCGTGAAGGAGATTAAGTCTCACATAGGTCCTAGAGCCTTAGCCCCAACCTCTGTTTCGAATCGCGTCTTCCAAAGCAGCTGGGATAGGGGATACCAATTCAGACAGATCTCCCGTAAATCACGGAATGTTGTGCCACGTGGCACGGCTGCTAGTGAGATAACCCGAGCCGCTGCAAGATCCGCCATCAGCGAAGAGGCCACTGAGGCAGGCCCTGGAACGGTGACACGTCAGCCCAACGCCCTACAAGCTTTGGACACGTGTCAGGCGGTGGTTGGAGAGGGAGATTCGTCCGGTGGCGGGAAGATCCGGAAGCGGCGAGTGGCGCTTTGGGTGGGATACGTTGGGACGGAGTTCAAAGGTGGGTCATGGTTTGAGTCCAAGGGGAAGGATCTAGGGTTTGGGGTTTAGGCTTACGAGCGGGTGACACCAAGTAATTCAAGAGTGGCAAAAGCGGCGGGTGGCTCTCTGGCTGGGATACGTTGGGAAGGAATTCAAAGGTGCGAGCAAATAAATATCCCGTCAACGATGGGGTAACATGGGAGTTCAGGGTTTAAGTAAACCTGTCATTCACTTAAAGCCTGCAAGCAGCGGTGGTTGTTGAGGTGGCAGCAATCTGTAGGTGGCATACGCTGGGACGAAGCTCAGTAGCATGAACTGGTTCTGGGGGTTTAAGATGAGGGTTTTAGAGGGGGTTAGGGTGAAGGGAGAGGATTTAAGCAGGTAATGAAGGATTGAGGTTGGGAGAAGCAGGGGTTGATTTCTGGTGGGGAACGATGGAGTGCGGTATGGCGTTCGTCACCTCTCCCTTCACTCTTCTCCTTAACACATTTCGTTCATCCTCCTACCCTTGTTCTCGTAACCTCTCCTCCCCCACAGGCCTTCAGGTTCAGAGAGCGACCCCGGTGCCTCTCCCTTCAGACGCCTCTGATAGTGACAGTGACTATGAGGAGTGTGACAGTAACGGCAACACTGCTCCTAACCACTGCCCTGACTTTCTTATCCCAACACCTGCTCCTCCCTCTCCCTTCTTTCTCTTCCCCTCACAGGGCTGCAGATCCAGAGAGCAAGCCCGGTGCCGCTCCCTTCAGACGCCTCTGATGACAGTGACTATGAGGACTGTGACAGTAGCGAAGGGGAACCCGGCAGCAGCAGCAGCGGCGGCGAACCTGCCAGCACCCTTTCAACTGAATCAGTACCGAGTGAGTTCCCTCATCCCTCATCACATGCGTCTCGTCTCGTCTCGTCTCGTCTCATTCACAACCCCTTACTCGAGGCGCCTCAAAATATGCGTGAACTGAGACGATGGTTGAGGCGTGGCGCGCACCTCAAGAATCCAATCAGTACCGAGCGAGCTCTCTCGTCGCATGTGTTTCATTCACAACCCCTTCACAGGGGTTGAGTGCGATGCGGTGTGATGCAGTGCGGTGCGGTGCAAGAGGTACTGTACCGAGTGAGCTCTCTCGTCACATGCGTCTTATTCACAACCCCTTCCCATCCATTCACAACCCATTCTTTCCCATTCTCCAATCTCTCCTCGTCCCTTCCCAAATTGTGTTTTGAGTTGACTCAAAACACTTTCCCATTCTCCAATCTCTCCTCGTCCCTCCCCCAAATTGCCCGGCGTTCCCCGTTTCTCCCCTTTTTCCCCCACCCCACTGCCCCCCTTGCCACCCTCCAGCGGTGGAGGGTTATTTGGAGCAGGCTCTACTGGCGGCGGGCATGATGCTTCCCCGTCGCCCATCCCCTCCCCACCCCTCCAATACGCACTCTATCTTCCCCCCTCCACACTCGCCCCCCCCGTCTCCAGCGGTGGAGGGTTATCTGGAGCAGGCTCTACTGGCGGCGGGCATGATGCTTCCCAGCAACTTCGGGGATCTGTTCAAGATTGGGTGGAGCAGGAGCAGCAGGACGGATAAAGGGGTGAGTGGAGTGTGGTGCAGTGCGGTGAAATGTGGTGCAGTCCGGTGCAGTGCAGTGCAGTAGATAGTGTAACGGGTAAGCCAAGCAATCTGGCCAAGATTGGGTGGAGCAGGAGTAGCAGGACGGACAAGGGGGTGAGTGCACTGTGGTGCGGTGCAGTGCGGTACTGAAGGGAAGCGCATGGGAGAGGGTGGGACCTGCATTACCTAGCATGGCCTTTTAAGGAATCCCAAAACATTCTCCAAAACATTGAGGTGGTTTTTTAGGCGCCTAGAAATTCGCCTTTTGAGGAATGTCAAAAGTTTATTCCAAAAACGGAGGGGTGAGGCTCGAGACAGCATGGCCTGTGTTTTGCTCGAGGCGCTTCAAAACTTTTCTCATTGCGAGCCCCTTAAAGCCCGTGACCAGCATGGCCCGTGACGGCTCTTCAGAGCCCCTTTCACATCTCTGCTACTCCGCTTTTATTTCTTCTCTCGCTTCCTCTGCCTCTATAAATCTCTCTCCCGTTCCCTCCTTCTCGTCCTTCCCCCTTCCCTCTACCCGTCAGGTCCCCTCTCAGGTGCATTCAGTGGCAACGGTGGTGTCAGTGAAGCTAGAGCGGCCAGAAAGTGCCTTCCAAAGAAGGCAAGGCCAGCAGCAGGAGGAGGAGCGGGCGCGCTTAGTGTTTCATCTCGCTCTGCCCGTTCTCTCCCCGCACATCTGCCCCTGTTCGCCCCTCCCAGGTGCATTCAGTGGCAACGGTGGTGTCAGTGAAGCTCGAGCTCCCAGAGAGCCTCTTTCAAAAAGGCCAAGGGCAACAGGACGAGGAGCGAGCTGGCTTGGCAGTAGCAGATGCAATCAACGCCCATCTGCCCGCCTCCATCCGGGTCTTTGGCGCCGTGCCTGTCACCAAGTGAGTGCCTTGTGCTCTCTGCAAGAAGGGCGTGTGTGAGCCGCAGTTACCATTAGTTGTTGCCTGCTGACCTGCTGCTGAGTAGGAGCAGCAGCAGCAGCAGGAGGAGGACTTACCACTACTTGCTGCCTGCCTGCTACCCATTCCCGCCCACCCCTCCGTTCTCTGCAGGAGCTTCTCGGCCAGAAGGGCGTGTGTGAGCCGCACTCATTGCCGCCTGCTGATTTGCTGCTGTGCTGCTGCTGCTGCTGGTTACACTCTTTGATCTCTTACTCTCTTCACCCTGTTTGCTGCAGGAGCTTCTCGGCCAGAAGGGCGTGTGTGAGCCGCACGTACCACTACCTGCTCCCTGCTGATTTGCTGCTGCCGAGGAGTAGCAGGAGAGGAGGACTGGGAGGGGTGGGAGAAGAGGAAGGGGAGGAGGAGGAGGAGTTGAGGAGGCGGTTGAAGGAGTTTCAGCAAATACTCAACACGTTTGAGGTGAGTATAACGATTGACTCTGTTTTAAGGCGCCTCAGAACGTGCCTCTATGCAGGAGGCGACTGAAGGAGTTTCAGCAGATGCTGAACACATTCGAGGTGAGTATCATGATAGACGGTTCGGGTGGGTATCACGATACATGGCCAGTGCAGTGCAGTGCCGAGAAGGGAGGGTGAGGAGGGGGTGAGGAGGGGGACGGGGTGCGGAGGGGGACGGGGTGAGGAGGGGGACGGGAAAGCAGCAGGCTGTTTTCACTGAGTATCCGGATTGTGTTTCCACTTTCCTCTGCATTTGCTGTTGCTCCTTTCCCCAGGGGAGGCACGCGAGAAGAAGAAGAGGGAGGCGCCTGCATTTGCTTTTCCTGTTGCTCCTTTGCCCCAGGGGAGGCACGCCTTGCTCAACTACACTGTGCGGCGGCTGTATGGCGAGAAGGAGGAGGAGGGGGAGGAGGGAGAGGAGGGTGCTTTACTGACTCTCTCCCATCTGCATTTGCCGTCCCTATCCCTCCTTCCCCGTCCAGGGCAAGCACGCGTTTCACAACTACACTGTGCGGCGGCTGTATCGCGAGAAGAATAAGAGGGAAGAGCGTGAGGAGGAGGGGGAAGGAAGCAGGGGAGATGGTGGAGAGATGGAGAATGGCGGTGACAGAAGGCTGAGAAGCGGAGGGGCATGGGGGAGAGGCAGAGAGGGGGGGAGGGGGGAAGGAAAGGGGGAAGGAAAGGGAGAAAGAAGGGGAAATGGCAGAGAGGCAAGTACTGGGGCTGTTACGACAGGAGGACACATAGTGGAGGGGGCAGCAAATATAGTTTCTTCGGGCCTTCCAAAGGAGGCAACTTTTGAGACGTCTCAAGAGAGGAGAGTTGAGACGACTGAGAGGGTTCAAACAGACATGGGCAGTGGCACTGGAGAGGAGCAAGCGGGAGTAGGGAAGAAAGAGGGAGAGAGGGGGGATGGACCTGGAGGGTTAGGGGAGCAAGAGGGGGAGGAAGCGGCGGGGGCAGGGGGGTTGGATAGGGCGGGGAGGAAGGCAGTGTGGTTGCATGAGACGGATAAGAGTGATAAGATCAGCTCGACACACTTTCGAACCATCGATACTTGCACGGTGCTGCCTTGGATTGAAGAGGACGTGTTTGATGGCGGCAGATTGGAAGGGAGCAGCCTTGATGCGAGCAGCCTTGATGCGAGCGGCTGGGAGGGAGGGGAGACGGAAGGAGGGAGCGGAGTGGGACGGCAGGAGCGGCGGAGATTCGTTCGCGTTGTGATTCGAGGAGAATCGTTCATGCTGCACCAGGTGAGGGGGAGGAAAGGTGAGGGGGATGAGGAAAGGGCGGTGGGGGGCTGAGGGGGTGTGATACGGCAGTTGTGGCTGTCTGTGTTCTGTTTGGGTTGAATTCGAGGAGAATCGTTCATGTTGCACCAGGTGAGCGGTGGGGTTGAGGGGGTGAGGGAAGGGGGGCAGAGAACGGTAGGTGGGGGTAGAATGATGTACGGAAGAGATGGGAATTGGGTAAGAGGAGTGTAAGGCAGAGAGGGGAGAGGGGGGTTGAACACGGGGGCATGAGGGGGAGAAGGGGGGGGGAAATGAGAAGGAGAAGGGAGGGCAATGAGCAGGATAAGGGGCGGGTATGAGAGGGAGCACGGTTGGAGATGAGAGGAGAAGGGGGGAAAAGGAGAAGGAAAAGGGGTGGAAAAGAGAGGGAGAAGGGGGGTTGAATGAGAGGGATACAAAGGGGAAAGGAGTGGCAGCACGCGGGGCAACGAGAGGGAGAAGTGGAGGGAACGAGCAGGTGAAAGGGGAGGATACGAGAGGGGGGAGGAGGGGGGGGGGGATCGAGGAGGCTCATAAGGGGAAATGAGAGGGAGAAAGGGGGGAGGTGAGCTTGAGAAGGGGGTGGGGAATGAGAGGGAGGTCGGAAGGGGAAACGGGGAGGTGGGAAGGGGAAACGGGGAGGTGGGAAGGGGAAACGGGGAGGTGGGAAGGGGAAACGGGGAGGTAGGTAGGGGAAACGGGGAGCCGGAAGGGGAAACGGGGAGGTGGGAAGGGGAAACGGGGAGGTGGGAAGGGGAAACGGGGAGGTGGGAAGGGGAAACGGGGAGGTGGGTAGGGGAAACGGGGAGCCGGAAGGGGAAACGGGGAGGTGGGAAGGGGAAACGGGGAGGTGGGAAGGGGAAACGGGGAGGTGGGAAGGGGAAACGGGGAGGTGGGAAGGGGAAACGGGGAGGTGGGAAGGGGAACGGGGAGGTGGGAAGGGGAAACGGGGAGGTGGGAAGGGGAACGGGGAGGTGGGAAGGGGAAACGGGGAGGTGGGAAGGGGAAACGGGGAGCGGGAAGGGGAAACGGGGAGCGGGAAGGGAAACGGGGAGCGGGTAGGGGAAACGGGGAGCGGGAAGGGGAAACGGGGAGCGGGAAGGGGGTACGGGGAGCGGGAAGGGGAAACGGGGAGCGGGAAGGGGAAGCGGGGAGCGGGAAGGGGAACGGGAGCGGGAAGGGGAAACGGGGAGCGGGAAGGGGAAACGGGGAGCGGGAAGGGGAAACGGGGAGCGGGAAGGGGAAACGGGGAGCGGGAAGGGGAAACGGGGAGCGGGAAGGGGGTACGGGGAGCGGGAAGGGGATACGGGGAGCGGGAAGGGGGTACGGGGAGCGGGAAGGGGGTACGGGGAGCGGGAAGGGGATACGGGGAGGCGGCTAGGGGAAACGAGGAGGCTGGAACGGGTATTGAGGCGGCGAGAAGGGGAAACCGGGAGGCGGGGAGGGGTAATGGGGAGGGGTAATGGGGAGCGTGAAGGGGAAAACAGGAAGGTGGGAAGGGAAAACGGAGAGGTGGGGAGGGGTAATGGGGAGCGGGGAGGGGAACGCGAATGGGGGAAGAGGAAACGGGGAGCGGGAATGGGAAACGGGGAGGCAGAAAGGGAATTGCGGGGCGGGAAGGGAAACCGGGGAGGCGATATGTTCGTGAAGGGACACGGGGAGGGGAAAAGGGGTGGCGGAGAGGGGATTTGGGGAGGCGGGAAGGGGATACGGGGTACGGGAAGGGGAAACGGGGAGGCGGAAAGGGTAAATGCGGGGCGGGAAGGACAACCGGGGAGGCGGGAAGGGGTAATCGGGACCCGGGGAGGGGAAAATGGGTGGCGGAAAGGGGAGTTGGGGAGGCGGGAAGGGGATACGGCGTGCGGGACGGGGAAACTCTGAGGGGATACGGGGTGCAGGGAACGTGAATTGAGACGGCGGGAAGGGGAAACGTCGTGGCAGGAATGGGCAATGCGGAGTAGGAAGGGGAAGCGGTTGAGGCGGGATGGAGAATTGGGGAGGCGAGAAGGGATAACGAGGAGGCGGATATGGGGGGGACATGCAGACGTTTCAGCAGTCGTTCCGTACCTCAACCTCGCCTCCCGGCGGCTAGAACGGACACGTGGTCGCGTTTTTGTGCGATCAGTCTGCGTTTGTGCTCGTGCGCGTTCGGCAGTTTGGGCCGCGTCGCCCGCGTTCACGGTGGCGTGAAGAGGAAACGTGTTTCCCGGAACGCGTCGGACAACGAGGCGAGGCTGTAGGAAGGGGTCTGGCGGCGCCGTTATGTTAGAGGGCGGAAATGACTTCGGTGCGGACATGTAATTACGCCCACGCGTCTAGGCTTGTGACACCTTCCTGTTTTCCCCTTCACGCTCCCCATTACCCCTAAACCCTAAACCCTAAACCCCTAAACCCTGGAACTTGGTAAAATGAGCTCGCTATTTAGTCACGACCTGCTTAGCATCGGGTTATGCTGCCTCTAGAGCGTAGTAGCGTAGATCTGAGAGTGGAGGGCATTTCGTATACTTTTGTCGACCCTAAACTTTTGAATCACCAGGGAGTGCTGGGTGCCGGGGCAATCTCCCTCCCTTGTTCAGCGAGGTTTTGTAGCTGTAATGTGGTTACCAATATTTCAGATTTCAGATTCGCAAGATGGTGGGAACAGCCTTAGCAGTGCTGCACGGAGCCATCCCCCCCTCTCTGCTGCTGCCCTCCCTCGCCCGCCACTCCCGCATCGTTCTTCCCCTCGCCTTCCCCCTCCCCCATTCCTCTGGCACTATTGGGCACGTTTCGAGTCGTTTTGAGGCGGTTTGAGGCGGTTTGGAGGCAGTTGAAAGGCGGGTTTGATGCACCAAGAAACCTCACCACTTCCTCTCCTCCCCCTCTCCTTGTCCTCCCTTGATCCGCCCTTCTTTCCAGATTCGCAAGATGGTGGGGACAGCTCTGGCTGTTCTCCATGGTGCCATCCCCTCTTCCAGGCTGCTGCCCTCCCTGCTCACTGCTCCCACACTTTACTCACTGCCCCCCCATTCAACCCGTTTGCCCCTCCCTCTTAGATCCGCAAGATGGTGGGGACAGCTCTGGCTGTTCTCCATGGTGCCATCCCCTCTTCCATGCTGCTGCCCTCCCTCGCCCGCCACTCCCGCATCGTGCTGCCCCTCGCTCCGCCCCAAGGCCTCCTATTGGCCGACTGCTCCTTCATGCCCTTCCGGGCGCCAAAGCTGCCCGGAAACAAATCCTCCTCTTCTGCTGCCGAACTTGAGGTTCCTCACTCCAGCACGCCTCTAGAAGCTGAATCAACAGACCGTTTCAAGCAGCAGCAGCAGCAGCAGCAGCAGCAGCAGCAGCAGCAGCAGCAGCAGCAGCAGCAGCAGCAGGCAGAGGCGCTATACACTCAGTGGCACTGTGCCGAATCCCCTCGTGAAATCGCCAGCACCCACACTCGAAACACTCTCCGCATGTCCCCTGCCGTGTGCGAGGGAGTAGAGGCGTTCTCTCAGCACCACGTGCTGCCAGCCATGCTGCAGTGGTTGGAGGCGGGAGGAGAGCCGTGGAGTGGGTGGGAGGAGAATCTGCTTGCTTACCAGTGGGTATCGGAGGAGGAGGAGCGGGAAGTGGTAGAGGGGTATTCCCGGTGGATGCAGGGGAGAGCAGACAGAGGGTACTAGCTGCTGCAGCGCCTCCCTCCCCCCCATCGCTCCGCATGTCCCCTGCCGTGTGCCAGAGAGTAGAGGCATTCACCGAAGGCCACGTGCTGCCAGCCATGCTGCAGTGGGTGGAGGCGGGAGGAGCGCCGTGGAGTGGGTGGGAGGAGAATCTGCTTGCCTACGAGTGGGTATCGGAGGAGGAGAAGAGCGAAGTGGTAGAGGGGTATGCAAAGTGGATGCAGGGCAGAGCAGAGAGAGGGTACTGAGCCCCGTCTCCCAGCAGCACGAGCCAGAGAGTAGAGGCATTCTCCCAACACCACGTGCTGCCAGCAGTACTGCAGAGGGTGGGAGGAGAATTTTCTGGGCTACCAGTGGGTGTGTGAGGAGGAGGAGAGGGACAGTGGTAGAGGGGTATACTACGTGGAATCAGGGCCGAGCAGGCAGAGGGTACTAATACTGGCCCGCTTCTTCCAGCAGCACGTGCTGCCTGCAGTACTGCAGAGGGTGGGAGGAGAATCTGCTGGGCTGCCAGTGGGTGTGTGCTGAGGGGGAGAGGGACAGTGGTAGAGGGGTTTACCAAGTGGAAGCAGGGCCGAGCAAGCAGAGGGTAGGTAAGGTGGAAGAAGGGTGGGGGAGCAACCTGTGTGGAGCAGCTGGGAGAATCTGCTGGGTTACCAAGGGTGTGTGAGGAGGAGGAGAGGGAGGGCAGTGGTGGAGGGGTTTACCAAGTGGAACGAGGGCAGAGAGGGGGTATTGACTCTATTGAAGGGTGGAGGGGGGATCTGTGTGGAGCAGTGGGGAGGAGAACTTAATGTGGAAGGGAGGGCAGTGGTGGTGGATGGGTTTACCGGGTAGAAAGAGGGCATGGGTGCATGGAGAGGACGAGAAAAGAGAGTTGTGGTGGATGCAGGGCAGGGCAGGGCAGGCAGGGAGTGCTGCTGAAGCGGGGAGGAGAATTTGCTTACCCACAAATGGTTGTCTGGAGAGGACGAGAAGGGAGAGTTGTGGTGGGTGGGTTTTTGCAGGGGATGCAGGGCATTGCAGGCAGAGAGTGTTGATTTATTGATATCTCTGTGGGTAGGGTTATTGATGCTAACATCAGTCTCACCATTTGCACATGCACTACTTATTGCAACCGTGGCAGAATAGGGAGTTAGTGCAGTGCATGATTTGAAGTGATTTGACAAATCCAATTGTCGGCAGCAAGCAAATGTTCACCAGAGCAAATGGTACTAAACTCCATTATGTACAAAAAGCAAACACGTTGCTTACACCGTGTGAGGGGTCGGCTCTGGCAAACCCCTTCTAGAAATTCACTAAACGAGATACTGACATTGTGCCAGTAAGAGGAGGCAGCCTAGCTGGGTGTTCTACACTAACTTTATTTGCTTCGGTAAGTCGTAGAGCAGTAAATTGTAATGAGTTGTACAGTTTGTGTCAGTTGGAAGTTGCGGAGTAACACAGCGTGTCTGCTGAATTCGCTGAAGTTACCGCCTTCGTTGAGAATATTCATTGGCACGGGGATTCAAACCCTGCACTCAGGCTCACGTGCCTCCGCAGGGACGAATTCGCAAGCGCAGCAACTCGCGGAGTAGCGGCGGAAACCGTGCGCGGAGTAAGCGGAAGCTGACGCGCGCCTGGCGCAGCAACGAGCGGAGATCCGGGCCGAAGAAGAGCAGGCGTTTGCGCAAGGGCGCGCGGCGAAGCGGATGCGCCAGCCTGCGCGCGCGCGGAAGCATTGCGCGGGGATCTGTGTCGCGGGGAACCGCGCAACTGCGAAGGGCTACCGTGAGAAGCGGCGTTTCCACCATGACCCTGCACGCGTGGAGAGCACGACGTGGGTTCGTCGTAAAAGCTAAGATCTTCTTTCCAGGTTTGGTTGCCGGCCGTTGGATGAACTTCGAGCGACATATGCCGGAAAAGCTGCCGCGATTGGCACCTCGATCGATCCAGCGGCTCGACGCCATTCCGCGTCAGCCTCGGATCAGCGCCAGCGCCGCCGCCAGATGCGGCGTCACCGCCGCCAGCGGATCTTGCAGCAGATTTTACTGCGGATTTCACGGCGGATGCGGCGGCGGCTTCTTCTTGCTCTGCGAGCAGCGAGGATTGGATCATCTCAATGAAGCCTTGGCATCGGACGGCTGAGAGCTCTCGCTGGATTTGCAGCAGCTGCAGCTTGCCTTCCAGCGCCGCCATTTCAACCGCGCCGAGCGTGCTGCGGAGCGCGTTTGACGGCGCGATGTCGATTCCATTGTTCGGTGGTGTTTGTATGTGAGTTCTAATGCCAATGGCAGTCTGTGAAGCCATTTAAAGCTTTTGTATACATTTGCAAGTACTGTTTAGGGTTGTACTGTAGCCTGGGTAAATTTCGCCAGAACGAAACAACGGGGGTTGGCGAGAGGATTGGCAAAAAATTGCACCCCTGAGGAGTTCCTCACACGGGAAATTCCCCCGTCACCCAACCTTGCACTCACACGCACACTCCGAAGCATACTAAGCGTCTAATAACGTAGGCTCAGGGTTGAGAGAGGAACCGGGGCGCGTTCGAATAATACCCGGAGCATCAAAACCGCCCATACAGTCGCATCTGAGATGAGTTTAGGTACATTATAGGCTGGTCCCTGCGCTAAAATACTATCTAGCTTGCCCGCCAGCACCATTCCGCCGCAGCGGCGGAAAGCAATCCGAGTCGACGACGGAAAGGCTCCGCATTCATCTAGCGCGTCTTCAGTTTAGGCAGTGTGGTCTGGCCCGTCGAAGCCCTGTCAAGGGCGCCTCGACGGAGTGCATCACCACGCAGGGATTGATAATTCAGGCGTCGACGAGGGGATCGCATATTTCCCATGCGCCGTTCGCCCCGCCGCCCCTCTCAACACCCACTCGGTAGGCATTTCCCACTAAGCGCATCACCCACTGCGCGGGTCTCCCGCTTACCGCCTTCAACGCGAAGAGCCTCTCCCGCTTAGCGCCTCACCCTCTGCGCGCCATGCCAGCGTCTCACTCGCTGCGCGCATTTCCCGCTTAGCGCCTAATCCGCTGCGCGCCTCTCCCGCTTAGCTCCGCACCCGCTGCGCGCCCCTCCCGCGCAAAAAAATCACCCGCTGCGGGCCTGTCGCGCGTACCGCCTCGCCCCCTGCGCGCCGGCACCGTGTGCCGCCTCGCCCTCTCCCGCTTAGCACCGCACCCTCCGCGCGCCTTCCCGCGTAGCGCATCCTCTTCTAATTACCCCTCCCTCGCCCCCTTTATCCCCCCTGCTCCCCCTCACTACCCCGCCTACTCCCCCTCCTTTTGCCTCCCTTCTCCCCCTTATTTGCCGTTGTTCTTCCCTCTCTTTCCCTCCTCCCCCTCATTATCCATCCTACTCCCTCTCATTTCGCCTCCAGCTCACACCGATTACCCCCCTTCTCGCCTTGAGTCGTTCCCCTACTCCCTGTCATTACCCTCCCTCCTCCTCCTCATGTTGCTCCCCGTCCACCCTCTCATCGCCCCCCCTCCTCCCCCTCATTTTACCCCCCTTCTCCCCCTCATTTCAGCCCCTTTCTCCCCCCCATATCCACCCTTCAGTTCTGCATTATCCCTCCTTCTCCTCCACCTTTTGCCCCTCTTCCACTTCTCATTTCCCCCCATTCTCCCTCTCATTACCCCCCCTTGTCCCTCTCATTTCACCCCCT